TCTCTCCATTGTCTCTGCAAGAGTTCTGTGGGGGTGTGTGTCCTCTGGATATCCCTGTGCGTGTGCTTGTGTGTATGTATGCCAGGATTAAGCCAGCGCATCATTAAACAGACGGCTGCACATTGCGTATACGTCACGTGGCCCACACGAAAGAAATTCATGCAAAAAGTCCATTAATACATTCCGTACATGTTTATAATGCAGGGTTCTTACGAGATTTGTCATATGTGTCAGGGGCTCAACTGTCATCTTATAGGTATTCAAAAAAAGTTCAACAATTAATCAGCTTATCCTCCCGGCTGACAGAAATGTGATTGCTCCGCTGGCAATTATTTTCCTTTCACGCTCCTGCATATCTCAAGTGCAGATAAACTTGACTAAAAATAAAATCGCTTGAGACTCGAGGCATTGTTGAGTCACAAAAAACGAATATTTTTATCGCACTTTCTCAGGCAGCCTGTGTGTTTCGTGTTCCAGACGCCATTTCGAGTGAAATGCTGAAGTAGTTTTTGACAATTGGTTCATGTTGCACACGCCCTGACAAGAATATTACCAAAGGTATTGAAAGTGTTTGGAATACAAGCTTAAAGCGCAATTTTGGCTAGGCTTGGGATGTACGAAACTCAACTCAGAATTCACTACAAAGTAGGGATAAAATATACAAACTTTCAGGCAATTATTAAGAAATCAATGCCCATAAAAGACTCGACTGTCCTCCCGCCTGTTATAGCCATAAACGAAGGCAATTACCAACACCATTAATGGTAGTTAGAGCACCAACTCGTTCCAAAATTGAAGTAAAATAAACAAAAATAATATCCTGCCACCCGCCGGGGCACGGGTCGTGGCACGTCTAAGCACAATGGACCGCCCGCCGAACAGTTCCAATATTTGCACACACGGCGGATGGGTTACGTGGGTGGTCATTCCCTTGTGGGAATCTGCAAAAATATATACATGTTATGTATGGGATATATGGGCCCCCAAAGATGTGTATTTTCCACTTATTATGTTGCAATTGGGAGGACTGGACGGTGGCGCTTAATTGTTATGCATGTGTTTGTAGAGCAAGGAGCAAGTCAGGCTGAAATGGGATCCTGGTATCAGACGACGTCCTTCAAACGACTTTGCAGGGGGGTCACATATGACAGACGCCCCGCCGCTGCGACAGTGTTGTCAGTAATAAATTTCCCATAAAGACTAATTTTCCAATCAATTTATTCCCACCGGGTTTTATTATACATATACATATTCTACATAAAAGACTTAAAATATTTAGGTTTTTCTAAAATATGTTTATGTTATATCTGACAGATCTATTTTTATTATAAAATTTAAATAAAATATTTAGCTTGAAAGTGATAAGATTCGGCTGCTCCGGCAGCTCTAGATTCCACTTGTCTGGCCGTTCATTAAGCCACGCCAAAATGTTGTTTCAAGAGCATAAAACTAAATATTGCCTTGGTGACTCTTCAAATGTCAACAGGCTTGTCGACGCAGGATGAGCAAAAGGGATCAGGGATCTGGCATGTGGATGTGGATGTGGGGCGATGGGATCGGGTCCTGGGAGCAACCACAAACACAGGCCGCATTTCATCGCCAAACGTCAGGCCACAATCTCCGTTCGTCAGTGCTTAATTAAATCTCCTCGGACAAGTTTATTTCACTTCGGTTTTTCCTGGCCCAGCCGGCTGTCAAATTAAGGTTTAACGCCCCTTTCCTTCCTGCCCCGGAGCGAGGAAGGCCGGCGGCTGTTGCGCAAGTTTTTGGGGCTCTCCGTTGCCCAAACTAATTTCGGCTAGATGATGTGAAGTCATTAAGTTATATTTGGTCAGATGGGAGTGGTGGGATCCGAAAGCCCCTCTGAAGTAGTGCCGAGCGGTCAAAACGGGGTCAAAGGGGAATCGCAGGCACAGCCAGGAACCTAGTTGGCCGGACTTGTTGCATACTTTTTGGGGGTCCCTTTTGCAACTGATAAAACTAAATTGGTCGTAAACGTCGGAGAGTGCGTGGATGCGCATTGAAATTTACAAGGACTCTTGAAAGTAAAGTTTGCTAATTGGACTTCATGGAAGGATTAAATTCACGTTAAACATCGTTCTCATTTCGAAGAGGCACAGCCAATTAAGTTTAAGTTGCCAATATTAAATAAGTATCTTTCTGTCTTTTATACACCATAAAGGGCGTAGCTCTAAAATAGGATTCAGATCCTGATAGGAAATACCCTTGAAGTACGGCACATATACCCATGATTAGGGCCCCCATCCAAGTATATCCTTCTTCCCGTTTCTAAGCCAAGTAGAGTTACGCAATTATAAGCCCAACACTCTCAACTCAAGATGGAAAGGTTTGCCCCTAGCTACTTTCAAGTTTCTCTTTTATCACGCCACCCACGAAATAACAACAGAAAACAACAGCAAACAAATGACAAAAGTGTAGAGCTGACAACTAAGCCTCTCGGAGACAGTCGAGAGTTTTAATTTGTCAAACCCACTTTCGAGGGCTGGCGCCAATCCTTGGTAAATCTCACCTGCTACCATGTGGCAATCAGGATGGCGGAATCCCTAGCTACGGCTGATTAAGCTCATTTCTCAAAACTCAGGCTGCGAAGTCCTTTGGCTTAAGTCTCTGGCAATTAAAGGCCCAAATTGAAGGCCACAATCGGCCCGCAGGCACTCACAACAGTCGCCAACTTTAAGTCAATATTGATATTGATGTTGGGAATCCCAAATTCGCCATTTTGCGACGGAGAGTCCTAAGACAAGGACGAAAGCGTGGACGGCCAAGAATTTGGTATTTGAAAAGTTTCCGCGGGCCCATCAATTTGGCAAGACAAACATATAATCGTTAAAGTTTTAATTGTGCTGTGCAAATGATGTTTCAGTTACCATCTAAATTTAGATTGAACAAGTTTAGATATATTAACAAAGTTTGCCGCGGGATGAAGAGGCTAAGGGGTCCAAGAGATGGAGGACAGATATCGATTTGTAGAAGAAAATTTTCAAAATCTAATAAAATTGTCAAACAAGTTGCCATTCTCCGAGAGTTTGAATTCTACGAGGTGGGAAATATTTACTTCCGGCATAAGTACAATTTTTATTTGAACAAGAACCTCAGCTAAATATTTTAACATTTTTTTTCTTAGTTAGCTTATATTGCTTCTGGCAGAGACTATTGGGCCCATCAATTTGTCTTTAAAATGATTTGTTTCCTTTATGAAACATAAATGCTTTAAAATTGTTGTTTTCCTCGTCACTTCAAAGGACATGTGTGTAAAGCAAGCAAAGTTTGTTGTGAAATGCAGTCCACGTAAGCCAACTAGACCAGATTCCCTGAAGGCTGCGAAGGCCCGGGGGAAAGTGAATTTCAGCTTTCATCTCGCCTCTGCGCCTGTCTCGAGGAATCCTTGTCTGACATTTGTCAAATAGTTGGCAACTAACTTTAGTTCCCCCTGGTTTCAGTCTGCCAGTCTCCCTACCTTTCCTCCCTGACCCAACTAACTCGGAACTATTGAAGTCTTTCACTTTTTATGGCAGCTATCCCTAGGGACCCAAGTTGCTCCTGTATCCTGCCCTTTTCCTTTTCATATCCTTCGTTTGGCTGACTATATTGCAAAGTTGATTTCACGGCATCGTTGCGGTGAGTTCACAGCGTTGACAGGGACCAATAGAAGGGCAAAATGGGGAGCAGCTCAGAAAACAGGATAGACAGGACGCAGGCTGAGTGATTGAGTCCGGCATTTGTAAAACAAATTGCTGCAGATTTCCCCAAAATCCCCCTCTGACGTGGCGCGCCCCTAGCATGCCTCAAACAAATGAACAATTTTGCGAATTAATTTGATGTCTCGGCTGATTCGCTTCTCGTTATTCAAAGATACATTTGTCTGCCTGTCTGCATCCTGCCACAAAAACAAGACAAAACTCTGCATAATGGGCCGAGGCAAATGGCCTTGTCCTCGGGACTCCTGTCGGGAGTGGCATTTGCAAAAAGAACTTTACGAAATTCCACAGATGTCACATGTGCCCAGGACAAACGGCCGAGACAAAAGGATACGGTGATGCAGCCAATGATTAATATCATTTCATACACCACTTCTTGGGCGCAGGATGGGGATAACGACTGCTTTCCAGCCAAGTTATCTGTTAGCCAAATTACCAGGGTCAAATGAAACGATCTAACTTGATGACTATGAATAAGCTACTAAAGATGCTGATTTATTCTTATGTACAGAAATTAAGACAAAATGTTGTCGTGACGCACAGTAATTCTACTTAACTTAAGACCCCAAAATATGCTTTAGATTTGTCTTTAAACAATTCGCTTTTTCACATTTCTTTTTTCTTTCGTGTGCTGGCCTTGTGTCCAAAATCCGGATTCCGGCTATCGACTCCATGTCCAGTTGGCTGTTTGCATATGGGTATGTAGTCCTCTCTATGTAGATGCTCTTGGCGACAAGCTCCTTTGTGGCCGGTTCGGGTTTTATCTAAGCCTTCTAGCCGATTACACCGAGAAGTCGGACAAAGGGAAACAGAAAGCTACCCGCGGCCAAAATAAAAGTAAATAAATAATTCCCCAGGCTTGTAGCCCCCACGCTTTCCGGTGTTTGTCCATTTGCCAGATCCCTTTTTGGCTCTGTAAAAATATTGTTCCTTGTATATTCCCCGTTTTTACGCTTCAGTGAACCTGCAAAAGCCCGAAACGCACTCAAGACTGTAAACTTCATTTTGGGTTCATCTTATGCTAATTTCATAAATTCTATTCAAGTGGAATTGCTTCTAATTCCCTAAAAATAGGTTGAAAACTATTCAAGCCCAGGCGGATTGTGGAAAAAAAACTTAAAAAAATACCAGCATCTAGCTGGCTGCCTTGACGAATGAGCTCATTATTAACGTGGCCGCAAGTTGTTTGTTTGGTGCCAGGAGTGGTTGTATAATTGTGTGTCTGTTCCCAACAAAAACTAGACCAAAACAATGCATTTAATGGTCTACAGGGTCTTCTTTTTAAAAATCAAATGAAATAAAATGATGGTGTTGGAAACTAGTTTGATCTACTAAAAACTGACCGAAGCGAATCACTACAATGGAGGCATGACACATGTAAACACAAAGAAAGGCCAGGATTGTGGCCTGCAGGACGTAGTCGTTTCGGGTCAGAAAGTCCACCCGCCGTTGGTGTACCACGGTAACCGTAAACTGGACTATGATGCACGAATATGCCAGGCTGATCATCGAGAAGTACCGCAGCAAGTAGATATTGCCATTAAAATAGACGATAATAAAAATGGTGGCAACAATTATGATGTAAAGTATGGTTATAACCAAGACAGCCACAGCTCCAGGCTGTAGCTTCAACGGCAAAAATATTCCCAAGATATGAAGCAAGATGTTGATCAGCACGACCATGGTAATGATGACAACGCACCCTGTGTAGGTCAACTTGCTCCATCGCTCACAAGCCATGAAGCACACAGTAGACTCAACTATGGCGACGGCCAAGAAGTAGTTAATCGGGCATGTATTGGTGAGGTTCACGCAGGCGAGGATCATAAAGCAGACGAGAGCCATCAACATCCACGAGGTGCTGGCCAAGGCGTTGCTCACCACCTTCCCGAAGTCAAAGTCCAGGTAGCGCATGGTCAGCAGCTGGGCGAAGGCGGCTCCCAAGAGGATGATGAGCATCGCATAGACCTTGGTCAGGTGGCGGGCCTTCGACGTCATGTAACAAGGCCGACAAAAGCGCCTTTCTGGGGGCTCCATTGATGCACTTGATGACGCAACTCGTGGCTCTCTTTCCTGAAGGCGAGAGGATCCTGGACTAGGACCAGATGCTTGGTCAGCAAGAGGCAGTAATGGCGAATATGGTAATGGCAAATCTAAATTTCGCGACGCAGGGTTGGGGAATTCTAGCAGGGGTATTTCTGTTGTCCTAGCCGGAGAACCAGAGTTTTGGCCCCTCGGCCTTGTACCAGGACTCCGACTGATCATTTTCCTCCATGGATGTGGCACAGGGTGGTATATGCATGTATATTACATTTTTTTGTTGTTTTTGTTTAGTTATGTTTGTGTTTTTGATTAGCAAGTCAATGTATAAACACTGAAACAAATGAAATAAGAGAGAGCCCATAAAAATAGCATGCGTATTTCAATGCATTTGCAATTGCTCATTTCTAAAATAATGTCCTGGGAAGTCCTCCCAGTGGGGCTCATGCATATTTAATAGGAATTACGACGGCCAGCTGTCGAGCCAGGAGTGCTAATCAATGACACGTGCTGGACCGTCACCACACCTATTAGGATGGCGGTACACCTGAGCCTCTGTTTACATATGTACTTGTGTCCGTCTGGAGGCGGGATGGCCAACTTTCGGGGTCTTTTTGTGGGCGGCTGGCTTTTATTTAGGCTGAATTTTAATTAGGCTTTGGCGCTGAAAAGCCAACACGTGCCGAAGGATCCGCAAACACCACCGAAAGTCAAGCCAAGAGCAAGTCGGGCATTAAATAAACATGAGTCGGCACAAAAGTCATAAAGTTTGTCCTTCGCCGGGACACAGAAACGGAACAATGATGCTTTACAATATTGCTCGATTGTGTCAGAGATTACCCTGCTTTTGGGCGATTCAAAGTAATCCCCAATCATCGATTACAACACGACTCCTCGAACAATAAGTCCTGCTTACGCAAACATAGAAGTTACTGCTGTTTGGCCGTATTTGATAATATTTTGTCGCCAGATTACTGACGTAATAAGCTTTGGCATGGAAAGCCCTAGAAATGTCTATCAATCAATGAACATGCCACTTGCAAACAATAAGAAGTTTAAAGAGATTGAACGGACAGTGAAAATATAAGAATAACCATCACAAGAAAAGCTTAGGATATATGAGGTATCCTCAGGAAAGTTCCGAATGACTGACCTTTGAATGCAAAGACCAATTTAAAGTAACCTTTCTAACGAGAAATTAATAGGGGAGTGCGTTATAAATAGAGTGTAATTGTAAGCCGAAATTTTAATTATTCCTTTAGAACGTTAGCCTTTTGCTTTCGCGTTGCCCTTTTGCGAATTTCATTAAATCTTTGATTAATTTTTAATGTCTTCCATTAGGTAACGGTCAAAATGTCGATAATTATAATGCCAATTAAAACGTTGTCATGGAAGAGATTTCGAATAACTAAGCCGTCGTCGACGGTAAAGACTGACAATTGATTGAATATTTTTGGAATACTTGACACATTCGAGTACCGAGAAAGAACAAGGTAAGCTCTTTATTCAATTAATGCCAAGAATGTTCCAGCAGAAATGTTCACTAATACAACATGAGCTTCTTTTGCCTTGTGAAAAATCAGGCTTCCGTCCAAATCGTCAACCTATTCAATTATCTCGAAAGGCTAATAATAGGAGCTCTCGATAAATTATGCAAAAAGGACGGACTTTACGGGCCTTGCGAGGCTCACAGGTGTTTGTAATTATAGACCTCAACCCTTGGGAACAGAGTTCATGTGCCTAAATTATTGAAAGCAATAGCTAAGAGGCAGTGGTTACGCTTAAGTCGAAGTTAAATATAAAATAACCTGGTGAGTAACGGGGGCCCCAAAATGAACATTTAATTTAAAAGTCTCGCAGTGAGGCGTTAAAAATAAAACGCCATGGAGGTCACGTACCCACATCAAAACCGTGGCCTGCCAACCGTGCGACATGCAATTGAACAAATAAATCAGCGGGCTAATAAATTTTTGGCAATGTTGGAAGCTGGCTGTAGCTCGCCAGAAAAAGAAGAAATCCCAGCTCCGATAAATGCTACCATAAATGCTCCTGAGCCATTAAGGAAGAAGCCAAGTGCACAAGAAGCAGAGGACAATGCCGGGTATTGGAGCGGGGTTCCACATCGCTGCCATGGCTTTCAGTTTCGAGTCCTTTTGTCGCCCGCTGTACCCCACGGCGTATACGTGTTAACGTATTCCCCCACGAATCTGGCTTTAAATCCTGCCACACATCGAACATTATGATTAAAGGCCGTTGTTCGCACCTGTTCAGGCTGTTCATAATGTATCGGGCATTAATTGAAATTTATTTTTTACGCCAACACCCAAGACTCGGTGGTAATTCAATTATTCATGCATGAGGACATAAGCTATTTTAATGCTTATTTCCATGGCGCTGGGAAAGTGTGATTGAATGAAAAAGAATTGCCGCTAGCAACAAATGGAAAATCAAACGAATCCACACTTCTACCAGTAACATCTTTAAAGTAATTTCCAACAACTAAATTACCCTAATGCTGTTCAAAGAATGCTGTGGTACCATTTAAACTTAAGTGAGAGTATTTAAATAGTCGTTCTGATGGTCTTTCGTGACAATTAAAGTTCGTTTGCCACACCACCAATCTTTACTTCAGATAATTAAATGCATCATGCTCCATATTAATTAATTTGAATTGCTGAAAGCCTAACAAATAAGACAGAAAAATCTCCGTTTAATATTTTCCATATTTACCTTATTAAATAAGTCACCAATATCGTGTGAAAAGTGAAGCCGATTTTCATAAATATACAAATTATTTGGTGGAACATATTTCGATACTGAGTGAAAAATGTGATTGAAATAATTACAAAAGCAGAATACTAACAAAGCAAGCACAGATTATAGATATATATATATTTACAGATATATAAATTTTTCTTTTACGGAAAATTTTTAAATTTTAAGTTCTTTATACGAAAATTTGCAGACCGTCGCAGCTAGACCATCCCCTTAATTACAGAATTCCTTCTAAAGACCGCTCTACACTGGGGTTTTCTTTTTCCTTTCGCCTTTCTTAATTATGGCCAACATTTTTTGCTTGTCCTTCGCAAAGGACTCCCACGCATAAAAAAACAGCCGCAAAAGGATTGTCCTCTTTCATTTCCAAGAAACCAGGTCGGGTCTGCAAGTAAACCTACACAAAAACAATAAGAGACAAATACTGATAATAAAAACTAAAGAATATTAAACCCATAGATTATAATTCCGGGACATGGTTTGGACGTCCTAGAGAGGAGTACAGTATCCACGAATTTTTGTGCAAACAATTCGAGCATAATGTTCCCAGAGGGACCTGAGTAATTCTGCAACTGCTTCCCGCTTGTTGACAACATGTCAGAGCAAACAATGAAGCCAGGACTTTGTTTTTTATTGTTCGCTTAAGCTTTCTCATGGGTTCTATTTTTCCATCACAGTCCTTCTCAACGAGTTAAATGCATTTTTAATTGAAGCAACATCACGTTATTTTCCATCTACGAGACTAACTGAATGCTTTTTCACTTGCTTTTGACACCCACTATTGTTGGTATGAAAAGCGGGGTAACGGGACGTATACTTGATTTCACCCAAAGCTCCGAAAGAAGTTCGAAGAAAGAAGCTATTGAGGCAACTACTTCCGCGAAATGCACAATTGCTCCCTGCATCCATTTAACAGACGAATTTTAATTGACTGACTGAATTTTAATTGAATTAATAATTTAATTTAAAGAATCATGAAATATCTTATTAAATTTCCAGTTATGAGTTTTAAAAACATCCATATTCATATATATTTTTTTATATTTTTCCATCCATATTAATACATAACAACTTTGGTTACTTTTAACGTTTGTAGTTTAAAATACAATCCTTGGCTGAGTAAACAACTGCGACCGGCAATTAATAAAACAAAACGTAAAGTACATGTTTACCTTTTGTGGCCCTGTGATTTAAAAGGTACATGCAAAATTCCAGAATAACAATAACAAAGCCCGCAATTAAAAATACAAGCGTTGCATGAATGAGTACTAGTATGGTATTGTCTACAAAGGCTTCACTGTACGTCGCCAACGAGCCGCATGGGTGACTTGAGTGACTCAAAGCCCGAGGCCGTTTTTTCTTAGAGAAGTTTTAGGATCTTTTGTTGATTGTTGGTTTGGTGGAATAGCTTCCCACATAAATTTGCCGCCAGACGCACATAAATTTTCCCTATTTTGGCATTATGAGTGCGAAACGTTGGCTAAGATATACGGCGAGTGAAAAAATAAATCATTTCTGGATAAGATAACGTCCTGCATCCTGGTACAATCTTCAAGCTGTCTTGTCTGATTAGCTATTAAATTTCTCACCAGTACAAAACTCTTCTGCCATTTAATCTTTTAAAGTACACAAAGTGTGCTGTGAACTAAAATAATTTATTCAAATTAAATTGTGCCTCAAAATTGTGTGGCCAATAAAAACAGTATCGGCCTTCTTGGTGGCACATGTTGCCTATAAAAAAGCTCTCTCTGTTAACTTCGTTGTTTGGTTTATCCACTTTGAATTAGGTTTGATCAAATAAAATATCAAATTTATATGAAGTAATACAGTTACGAACCCGCAAGTCTTGTCCAAAATATCCAATATCCATTTCTGTAAAGCCAAATGCAATATAGAATAGGGCTATACATTGCTTTAATATCGTTTTGAAATTTTTCGAATTTTTTCCATTTTTTCACCCACAAAAATGTGGGTTTTCCCAACTTCCCCACTTTTGCTCCTTCCGATGGGCATAGCTCCTCCAATTCCTATCCGATTGGATCCTATCCTATCAGGAAATAAAGTACCATTTTGTAATCAGCGAACTCAGAAGCGACTTTCCTCATTCAAAACATTGCCTTAATAACGTTTTGAAATTTTTCGAATTTTTTCCATGGGTACCCCTACAAAAATGTGGGTTTTCCCAACTTCCCCACTTTTGCTCCTTCCGATGGCCATAGCTCTGCCAATTCGTATCCGATCAGGAAATAAAGTACCATGTTGTAATCAGCAGACTCAGAAGCGACTTTCCTCATTCAAAACATTGCCTTAATATCGTTTTGAAATTTTTCGAATTATTTCCAGGGGTACCCCTACAAAAATGTGGGTTTTCCCAACTTCCCCACTTTTGCTCCTTCCGATGGCCATAGCTCTGCCAATTCGTATCCAATCAGGAAATAAAGTACCATTTTGTAATCAGCAAACTCAGAAGCGACTTTCCACATTCAAAACATTACCTTAATATCGTTTTGAAATTTTTCGAATTTTTTCCAGGGGTACCCCTACAAAAATGTGGGTTTTCCCAACTTCCCCACTTTTGCTCCTTCCGATGGCCATAGCTCTGCCAATTCGTATCCGATCAGGAAATAAAGTACCATGTTGTAATCAGCAGACTCAGAAGCGACTTTCCTCATTCAAAACATTGCCTTAATATCGTACCATTTTGTAATCAGCAAACTCAGAAGCGACTTTCCACATTCAAAACATTGCCTTAATATCGTTTTGAAATTTTTCGAATTTTTTCCAGGGGTACCCCTACAAAAATGTGGGTTTTCCCAACTTCCCCACTTTTGCTCCTTCCGATGGCCATAGCTCTGCCAATTCGTATCCAATCAGGAAATAAAGTACCATTTTGTAATCAGCAAACTCAGAAGCGACTTTCCACATTCAAAACATTGCCTTAATATCGTTTTGAAATTTTTCGAATTATTTCCAGGGGTACCCCTACAAAAATGTGGGTTTTCCCAACTTCCCCACTTTTGCTCCTTCCGATGGCCATAGCTCTGCCAATTCGTATCCAATCAGGAAATAAAGTACCATTTTGTAATCAGCAAACTCAGAAGCGACTTTCCACATTCAAAACATTACCTTAATATCGTTTTGAAATTTTTCGAATTTTTTCCAGGGGTACCCCTACAAAAATGTGGGTTTTCCCAACTTCCCCACTTTTGCTCCTTCCGATGGCCATAGCTCTTCTAATTCCTATCCGATCAGGAAATGATGTACCATTTTGTAATCAGCAAACTCAGAAGCGACTTTCCTCATTCAAAACATTGCCTTAATATCGTTTTGAAATTTTTCCCCAATAAATTGCTAGTTTTTTGTCATTTTGTAATTAGCAATTGCAGGAGGGATTTTCCTTATTTAAATTGCTAATTATTAAACATTTCAATTTTAAAATTTGCATTTTAAAATGGGTTTGAGCGGGAATTTCGCCTTAGTATTAAAATACGACAAATTTCTCGTAGCCATTTCCTTTATCGATAACAAATGAATACCTAGCTTCCCTTTATGCCCACAGATGGCGCTGTAGCTGACCTGCACCTAAGAAAATAAGTTAAAATTAATCAAACTCAATCAGAGAACAAATAAGGGAATTGAATGGCAATCCTGATATGCAACCCAACGCTGCTAATGAAGAGGTGATCGGAGCGGTACCCAACTTGACCGTGGCGGATGACTGCCGAGTCGGTCAAGCCGATTAACGAGTCCAAAGGAGAGGCAACTCTTTGATGAGTAGTTTGCCCATCGCATCTACGCCAAGATTAGAGATTAGGAGATCAAAGTAATGAAACAACCCATTGATGTGGCGGCTGTGACTACGGAATTACCCGGAAAGCTTGATGTTTTGGCAGCTCTTTGCACTTTCAATGAAATAATTATAAAGAGCGTAGTAATGTTTTATTTTAAGACCTATTTTGTATAATTATTATTAATTTTTAATACATAGCCTAAATATATTATATAATAAAAACGCTGATAAAGAATTTGAGTTTCCCGCTTCACGCCACCGATTGTTTAGTATTTTTTGTTATCGTTTTTAATACTCACCAGCTGTTAGAAGCGCCAATGTGTCTTCCTCGGTCTTGGTCACACAACGTTGCAGTGCAAGAGAGACAGAGACAAAATTACAATAGCCGCAATACTAATGTCTGACAAAATTGTAAGTAAATTGTTGATAACAAAATAAAACCAATTAATTTAGGCCTCCCGTAAAAAGTGCTCAACAGGGAATCGCACAGATATCCTTCACCAATTGCGCGAGCAGATGTATTCCGGAAAACGGCAAACTAAATTGGCCGCTGTGATTTGTGTTTGTTGTTGTTGCTTTTGGCCGCCGCAGTCGTTGGCCAAAAAATGAAAAAAAAATATATTTCTACAACTTATAGCCTTGACAAGTGCAGGCGAAAATGTGGCCCCAAGAAATTGAGGTAGTCTTCAAATATATGCAAAAATATGGACTGCACTGTTTGACCGGAAAAGTTGGGAACGGGAAAAATAAGCTACACCATGACTTGTAGATTTTGGATGTAAAATGCAGTCTAGTCGAAAAATGAGCAAGGGGAGGGAGGGATTGTCTAAAATTGAGAGCAAAATCCAAATAAATTAATAATTAAACAGTAGGGTGAGACAAGTATATCAATTACATGTATGATTAAAGGTTTATGTGAATAAAGGCTTACGTGGTTGTTTATTGCATCAGATTGTGTACGTTGTTTCTAGGATACAGTCATCTGATTCCTGATCTGATTGGCAACAAAAAAAATAGAAAGTTATAGTTACTGATAAGTCTTCTAGATACTTAAAAATGGACAAAGTTCTGCCAGCAATTGTCCTTTTTGATATAAGATTAAGGACACTGTCGCTGTCCATAAAGCTCCAATATGTAAACTGAACGGAAAAACTTTAATTTCTTCCAATAACAAAGCCCTCTTGACTAATATGAGCTACCAACCAATTGAGCTATTCACTTATGCGGAAATGAAAAGAAAAGCTAAAGAAATGTCTCTATTGTTAAATAAAAATCTCTTCCTAACAATGCACTCTTTTTGGCAATGCTTTGGATTTTGTTTAGAAAGCGCTGCCAACAAAATGCTCAGTCCATTTCGCGCCTTCATGACGTACAGCCGAAATCACTAAAGAAATAAGCCTTTTTAGGCTTTAGTAGCTCTTAAGCTACATTTAACACCCCCCGAAAACCAAGTCACCCAGACCACCTCCTCCCCACTTGACCCCTGAATCCAACCCTTAACCGCCCCCAAAGAATTCACCCAATAGCCATGGCAAGTGCACCTTTGCTGCTCGAACACTTCATCTACAAAAAGCGCAATTTCGTCTACGCCTTTGTGCGCCATCGTTTATTTGTGTTATGCAAACAATCGGTGGGACTACCAGTTGGAAGAATTTTAATCAAAAAACTAATATTTTTAATCCGCATTTTACAGCTAATACGCGTCCAGTCTGCGGAGGGCATCAAGCGCATCGAGATCTCGCCCAAGTCCAACCTAAAGCAACTCTATGACAGCGTCCAGAATGCCCTAAAGGTCGATGGGTTCGGGCTCTTCAAGGAGCGCAATTGCATCACAGAGCTCCAGGCCAATGGCACTCAGCTGGTTGGTAACACCCTGAAGCATGGCGACATGGTCTACCTAAAACAGATGGCTGGCACCTCGTCGCGTGTAAGTTAATTGCTTTCCATTCCAACCATTAAAATCTATTCAGATGCGTCTTTCATTTTCGCAGCGCACTAGTACCACGGTCTTGGACAGCCAAGCGTTCAAGAACAGTGTCCCCGCCGAAAAGTTGAGCAACAGTAACACCACAACACGTCCTTCTATCAGCGTTGTCGAGGATGAGGTGGACCAACTTCTGAGCAAGACGGATGGCACCATCAAGCGGGAACGCGATAGCAAACTGTAAGACTTATTGTGATATTGATGATATATTAAGTCTTAACTCCCTTTATGTTTTAGGTGCCACCACAATGCAAATGGGCGTTGCGTCCATTGCTCTGCCCTGGAGCCCTATGACGAATCCTACCTGAAGGAGCAGAACATCAAGCACTTGTCCTTTCATTCGTACATCCGCAAGCAGACCTCGGGCATGGGCCAAGGAAAATACTTTGTCTTCGATGATATCAACTGTCGCATCAAGCCCGGCTGTCGTGAGCACCCGCCATGGCCCAAAGGCATCTGTTCCAAATGCCAACCGTCGGCCATCACCCTGAACCGTCAGACATACCGTCATGTGGACAACGTCATGTTCGAAAACACCAAAATCGTGGAACGATTTCTCAACTACTGGCGCACCACGGGCCATCAGCGCATGGGGTATCTGTATGGAACTTACGAGCAGCACGCCGACGTACCGCTGGGTATCCGCGCTAAGGTAGCGGCCATTTATGAGCCGCCACAGGAATCCACTCGAGATTCAATCAACATCCAGCCAGACGAGGGAGCCGATGATGTGGAGGCTGTTGCCACGGCCTTGGGCCTAAAGAAGGTGAGTTTAGATTTTAAGACTTTATTGCTACGTTGCTCATTCAATTTTTACCATAGATTGGCTGGATTTTTACTGATCTCATCACAGAGGATGCTAGTGTGGGCACTGTCAAACAGATCCGTGGCATCGAGACGCACTTCCTCACAGCCCAGGAGTGCATTACTGCGGGCGAACTGCAGAATCGTCATCCGAATCCATGTAAATATGCCTCAAACGGCGTCTTTGGCTCAAAATTCGTGACTATTTGTGTGACGGGTAAGGAGAATCCTTATTTTTCATAGGCCTCTTAAATGAAATAACCTTTTGATTCATTTAGGAGATAATACCAAGCAAGTGCACATGGAAGGATATGCTGTTTCGGCCCAGTGCATGGCATTGGTGCGTGATAATTGTCTAATACCAACTAAGGATGCGCCAGAGCTTGGCTATGTGCGTGAATCGACGGACAAACAATATGTTCCAGATGTTTTCTATAAGGTAAGTCCTAAAGCCTGAATTTCCCCCAAAAATAAGCAGTTGTTTGGCAACATTTATTGAATTATTTATCACACATATACACACCAATAATTTGCATATTTAGACATCGATGAAAATGGGTTTTGTTTTCTATAAACTACCAATGACAATCTTTTCCTATAATTACCAATTAAACGCTCAACTGCTTTACTTCCGTTTCTTCTGGGTTTGTACTACACATCATTGCTCCGAGATATCTAGCATTCCATTACTGTATCTTGGCGATGGTTCACACCGTAATACATACATATGTTTATGATTATTAGATATTAATTAAAATGATTAACCTAAAGCCTTTTGAGCATCAAACCAATCACAATCTCAATGAAGTTTTCTAAAACCTCCAATATGCACTATTCTTTTCACTTAACCTTTAGGGTTTTCCAATCAATTCTATCTAATATTTGTAAACTAAATGTTGGAACTATGATCTCGTTTCAATTTTGATTTAAAAACAACATATTTATAATTAGTGTTGAGAGTTATAAGCGGTTTCTTATGGCTGGTTTCACATAGGTCGTTTGTTTTCATTAAATCACATATAGAGCCTATATTGTGGCTACACCAAATGCAAATATACACATATATAGACATTGAACATCAGATATATTTTTGTTTTGATACATATTTATTTATTTATTGTGTATGATAGATAATTGTAATTTCACCTTTTTCATGATTTGAGAATACTGCTCTGTACTGTGCTCTGTACTAAAGTTTCTTTTATAATTTCACATTTATTTTAACATTATTGTAGCTAATTTTCTATGTCCAGGTATCGTCGTAGCGCTTAGACTGCAACAAGTGCTTGTCTTTCCTTAAAAAATATATCATGAATATGCGGAGTTTTTTTTTTTTGAAGAATTTCCGAATAAAATGTTGAGTTACATACCTATTTTGATATACATGGTTATTCGTAGGTGTGGTGTGTGTGTGTTTTAAATAGCATCCAAAAGATTTTATATATTTGACTTGTAAACGGCTTATAAAAATGTTCTTAGTCTGTCTCAAAAATTGTCTTTTGTTTTCTCTTGTATTTGGTTTTAAAATTTTACATTTTCGGACGAGAGTATAAAGCGTGCAAATTTGTTTACAAAAATTCATACCCAGAACAATATATGACCGAAAAGTAGGTTAAAATATAGTGTCCTGTTTTCTTACAATTTTGAAGAATTTCTATGCGCTGTGTACTCGCCACAATTCCGGATCACGGTCTTAACTGCTGGTCGTCCCATGGCATCTCCGGAGGCTGCTATTTTCTCCACAACCTCAATGCCTTCGATGATGTATCCAAAAATGGCCGTAAATAAGCGCATCTCTCTGAGCACCAACCGAAACTGACTGCCCACATAGCCGCCGTTGTCCTGTCTTTTCTGGCCTCTTCGTATGCCAATGGTGCCCCGGTAGGCCAGCAGACCCGTGTCCTCCGGCATAAAGTAACGTTCGACGAAAGCCGAGTGTCCTCCCCGTCCGTGGTTTGTCTCGAAATCCCCACTGATTACGCTCTCATCCGCCCAGGCTTGAAAAATTGCGCATCCCCGATAGCCGAAGCCAAAGTCGTGTCGGATGAGGGCCCCAAAGTTTTCCGCCATCCGGGGAGCAGCATCTGGTCGCACCTCGATTAGAACATTCCCGGCCATTTTTCCTGCTGTTTCCAGTTCCATATAATAGATGGGATAACAATGAATGGACGGCAGACGGATAATGCTTACCAAAGTTCTTGGCTCGGATCTAGACTTGTCCTCCGGGTCCTGGTCCGGTTCCTGCTTAGGTTCTCGCTTCTCCCTGGTGTAATTGGTATTTCTGTCGTTGTTATTGGTGGTGTTGCTATTCCGTCTTTCGTTCGATCGGTGAAAGTACTCCTCCTTAACCATGGCGTAATAGGTATTGGGGGCCGACTGGGCCGACAAGTTCTGATATTGCGGTATATGTTGTTGGAACTTTGTTTCTTTTGGTGGCCCCAGATTTGACAGTTGATGCTTTTGCTTCTGAATGCGATCCTCTTCCAGCTGCTCCTGCTGCTCCAGCAGAGCCCTGTATCCCGGATTTTGATGAATTCGCAAGTCGCACAGTCTCTGGTTCGTGGGAGACTGTTGCTGCTGCCTAGCATAGTAGTTTTGAATTTGCAGCTCTAACTGCCGATTCAATCGACCCGCCATATTTGGTTGACTTGGCTCCCAGTGCTGGTGACGTTGTGGTGGCATCTCCGCCTGTGGCTGCATCTGCGGTTGTGGCGGCCTCTGCAGAACCTGCAACTCCAAGCTGAGGCGATTATAGTTCTGTTCAAACAACTGAGCCGCCGGATTGCTGCTGTGCGAGGATCTGCTACTTGCCGAACCCGAGGATCCCACAGAGCCTGAACGGTCCGAATAGTTTTCGTACCGGGCAAAGCACCGCTGCAATGTCTGCATCACCGGATCCTGCATCATATCCATATTAGGGAGAGGCTCAAATACTTTAATATCCCGGCGTTGCGGATTGAAGTTTGGTGGGATTACCGCTCGCAGCGACTGGGGCAACCGCTCGGGGAGCGGTGAAGGAATCCGGCATAGTGGGGGAAGCATGTTCTGCTGCAACTCATGCCAGTAGGCCCACACACAATAGTTGGTAAGGATGAGGGCCGGTGGCGGATCCACGTTATGCGGAATGGGGCCCGGCCGAGTCCAGCTGCGCAGCTTTAAGAGCCTCTGGTTGATATCCTCAAACTCCAATACCTTCATACCATTTTCTTGGATTGCTGCCCGCATCCGGCATTGAAGATGAATCTCTACCAGCAGAGAGTTGTATCGTTGGCGCTGCTCATACAGTTTGTAGATTAACTGAACCATGTCGTTTTCCCGAATATGTCCGGTGGGTCGGTTTATGTCCTCAGTGTGGGCTATCCAGCCGCGCATCTGGCAAGCCATCAACGACGGCTTGTGGTCCAACATGACGCGCTTGGTGTGCAACTGGACGTGGTTGCACGCCTCAACCACCTGCCGCATGAGGCTCATGTCGCGCACGGCATATTCGTCAGCCTTGGTGGCGAGAACCTTGATCTTGCCCAGCTCGATGTCAAATAGCTGACGCAGCAGCAGCGTGTAGTCCATCTGGCGGGTCAAACGGTGCCCGAAGTGCAGCAGGCCTTCGGTGCAGTCGCGGCACAGCAGGCGCTTGCAGTTGTGGCACCAAATAGTACTCGGCATGCCATGTAACATGCATGGTTCGTTGTAGGTGCCCAAAAATTTTTTTATGTCGATCCCCGCTAGCCAGTTGGAATCCCCATCGCCGGGTATTAGGGCCTCCACTTCGTTAACTTGGGTGTCGCCACGTCCGCTCGAGAAGCCCAAAATGGCGCGGCCCAAAAGTAAAGCCGGCATTTCCCGAAGAAGGAACATAATGTGAACCGGCTCCAGCACTTTCTCTAGTTGCGTGTGGATTCCGCACAGGGGGCACTTGCACTCCTGACACTCTAGATTCGCCCCAAATTGGTTTTGCATTAGGCAGTTTCCGCAAAAATTATGCTGGCAGGCCAACTCTTTAGGCACCACCCCGGCGCTAAAATTGTAGCGTCGCCGACAAAGTCCACAACTGAGAAGCGGCACCAATTCTGACGGAATTTCCATTTTTTCCAATTTGATAGTTTTCTCTAAAATAAAATTAAAAATATATATGTTTGAATCAGAGGTCGGAGATAATTATCCTAATTATAAGGAGACCTCTAGATTAGCTTTAAAATTGGTACCCCGACTTCTGATTTTGAATCCGAAAAAGTTTCCTGAGTCAAAAATTCCTTCAACTTCAGTTTGTTTGTGGGATTACCTTTCTGCTCCTTCCAGACGAAAGGAGCACTTCCTGGAGCTAGTTAGTTGTAAGTCTGCGGCCTAATTCCTCGCCCGCGAACCCTTGAGAAACTTTTTCGCCGTGTGGCAGTTATTGAGACTTTGTTCTAAGCCCTGTAATCAAAGTTTCTTTTGGCCAAAGACACCCAAAATTGTAGGCCTTTTTGAGGGTCAAGAAGATGAGAAACTTGGCTTAATACGGAGGAAAAAAAGTCACAACTGGACAAATTTTTAATCAAATCGAAAACTTTGTTGGATGAGCCACATGGTGTTCTATTTTGGTAGCTTAGTTAGGTGGCATAGGCTAAGGATATTAATTAATATTCCATTCAACTCAAGTACAGCGCAAAAAATTAGTGGTCCTGATTTGAACACTTGTAGCCTGTGCAGCTTTAAAATTCTCTTGCTTTGTTGAATAAATGTTCCGAGAACTGTAGGCTTACTTAAACCAGAGCCTTCTATGTGTTATTCCCTTTTCATTATGCCTTATGCCATAATACACCTGTCACACGGAAGGCTTCAAACACCTTGTTTATTTTTGCTTCCATCTCGAATTTCCTTGGTTTTCCGGCCTACGAATTCCTTTCCATGCCATTGGAGAACAAGGAGCACGTTTGTCGCATTTCTTACGGCTATTTTGTTTTCTGTTTATTATTCACTTTTCCCTTGTACTTTTTTAGTCTTTAGGTTTTAGTCTTCTTGCCGCTTTATTTGCAATTATGCAAATGTCTGAAGCCGTCTGCAGCTTCAGCAATTATCGTGTGGAGGTCCACTTGCATATGGCAAATAAAAAATGGGACCCACCTTTTTACATTCATCTCTTAAGCATACTTTTTGCCACCCCAGCGATGGGGTACGATGTGTGAATTGAAATAAAAAAAAAGAGGAAGGAATTCCTGTGCCAGCGCTGATGTTCGAGTATCCTTGACATAAATTCATATTTATGGCAATTTATTTTGTCACCCTGAAGAGATGTGTTTAGAATATAATACTCTTTTTTTTTTTAAGCCTCCCAAATTCTGGTAATTGTTTACATGTCAGAAAATAAAGTCGGCAAAAGGTTCATGTCCTTTAAGCGAGACTCTCACTGGCACTCTCGTGTCATTACTTTAGCGGAAAATAAAACGGCCAGTGCCAGAGGACAGTGACAGATTTTAGTGGCTTTTGGTGGTTTGTTTAACTGGTAGCTTCTACCAAGTTGACTATAAATTAACCGCCTGACGTCTGTCAACGTTATTCAGGATTAACTTGCCTTTGCCGCTCTAACAATTCCCAAATTAGTGTACGTGCTACTGTGAAATGTGTAATATTTCCAGGTAGATGCCACAGAAACTGCTCCAATGTTATATTCCCCAGGTATTCTTAACTAAGTTATATTTTAAATAGCCATACCCTAATATGTTGCTTTAAGATGAAATCCAATTTTTGTATAAAATTCTACTCCTTGCTATTTTTTTGCAGCCTTTTCTATTAAATTGTAGTTCCAAGTAAAGCTATTGAATTACCTTTGTTCAAAAAATAGCATGCAACTACATACAAATAAAGCTGAGAGTGTGAGGTGGTTTGTGATTATTTTTCATAGGAACTGCAGGATTTATGAGCAGGAATTTAATTTTGGCTTTACCCATTCGTTTTTTTTTATTAAAGTCTCTGACAAAGGGTATTGATGTACTAATATTTCCTTTAATCATGAAATATTTTTTCGGTTCTTCATTATTTTCACATATTTTTACATTCTGTTCTGATGAAATGCTGTCACATCCTAGCAACGGAATTAATTTTGGTTTCTGGGTAAGATTACCAACCTGCAGTTGTTGGGACGTGTATCTATAAATTTTTAATTCGCCTGTTGCATATTTCCATGTCTGTTGGGACGCTCCCCAGGGTGAGCGTAGGAAATCACCTATTGTCTGAACACGGAACACGTATGTCTGCCTACTTATTTATAGCTAATGTCGAAAAACCTTTTGCTTTAACGCATGCAATTCCCAAATGAAATTAAAAGTTTTTGGAGCTTGGCTGCTGTTTTGGGTAATTTTGTACTATGGAAAAATAGAAACTCTAGAGGTGTTTGTGGCGAACGGATTGTAATTAATAAATTGTGTACGTAAACATTTAAAAGGCTTTCTAGGGGATTTTTGCTTTCATTATCCAACAAGCGCTCAGATTTCAATGTACACCCCCGCTATGCACCTACGCTCGCATTCTGTAAAATCTACGGAAAATTCCGGCGTAGCATTCACAGAATTACCGTAAATTTTTGAAGGTCGAATATCGCTATTTTCTGGAAAATCAATTTTCCCTAGCATTTGGCTTTAAATCGCAGTGGAAAAAGGGAAAATCTGCAAATCGATAAGCAATGGGCGCCCTGGTTTGTGGCTCATTGTCAGTGCCTTTTGGCTATTGGCCTGGCTAACTGACTAACACTGACTTTCTGGCTTGCGGTTTTTACATCTGGGCCTTGTGGGCGACAATAAAATTTTAGCGTATTTGTGTGTCACCTTGTACGGTTCTTATAGCCTTCTCCTGTTCCGGCTCCTTCTCCCTTCATGAAAGGACTCTAGCGTACGTAAATGACCCTTTGCTAATTGCCATAAACGGACTGGGCCATGGCTATAATTGGTTCCCTTCATTTTTATGACACTAGAAACGTGCTGAGAATTTTTTCTGGCCATATGGTCAAGTTGAAAGAGCTTTATATTAGCGAAATCCTTATTAATCCTGAAGATTTTGTCTTCAACTATCATCAAAGCCTAGTGTTAATCGGAAATAGAATCTAAAAACTAAGAGAATCCCATACTCCCCTTACTCAGGTTATCCAATGAGCTGACAAATAATTAGCATACTTTTACGGGCAATCGACCTTTTTTGATTGATGGCCCTTGGCCCGGCGGCAATTCGGTGCTCTACTGCTCTGCCAGACTTCAATCATGCAAATTAACCTTCAGCTTGTCAAATTCCGTACTAATCAAAGCCAAACTTTGATGGATGCGAAATGGAATGCTACTCTCTAGTCACTGGCATGTGCATGTGTTTGCCCAAATCAGTCGGGGTGAAGGTCTGCATCCGTTGAGATATGCTAATGAGTCCTTCATGTGAAAATATCAAAGGAAATAAACAGAAGTTTTTCACAAAATTGTCGTGTATCTTTCCTACTCTTATGATGTTTAGAGAAATGAGAAATTTATTTCACATTTTTTTGTTTATTTACTTTGCAATTATATTAATGGCACTTTATTGGAAAACCACTTGTTTACCAAAGCTTACCGTTGATTTGTTTCGGCTTTATTAGACTCACTCATTAAATACAAATACTAGTGTTTATTCATTGTTTTGTTTTTTTTTTTTTGTTTAAAATGCACAGGAACTTGATTGTTTGCTTGTATTATTCGGTTTATATTTCACCTTTAAAATGCATAAAAAATATGTAGCTTGTTCGGTTTTGATTATTGTAATTGAATTGTACTGGCTGGCGCACATATTTGCTGGAATTAATTTTTTTCCTTTTTTGTGCACTTGCACGAGGTGAAAGCTTTGAATATTTTACTTTCACTTTTCGGTCTGATTTTCTTCTTGAGACTGGGACCAGCTGTCTGATGTTTTTCTGTTTCCTGCTCGGCCTCAAGCACACCTCCAGTCTGCTCCGCTTGCTCCTTCGGGGGGGACAGTGGCTGGGACTGCAATCGTAGTTGCTCCTTGTGTTGCTGATGTAGTTGACGTGATTTAAATGCAGCATTGCTGAGCTGCCAGCTGCTGGCCAGGGCCCGCAGAGCCACTGGCTTGGTGTGCTGCTGCTGATAGCTGGGCGCTGCACTGGCCAATCCCGCCGAGCTCTCCGGGGTGGTCGATAGCGTGGACGAGGCGACTGCCGTCCAAAACATAATTAATTAGCTGCTTATTGCTGATGCCACACATTGAAAACATATTCTTCTCCCCGAACATCTTACGCCAAAATAAATCCACTTTAAAACCAAAAAAATGTTAAATCCGAGTTTAAAAAAATTGGCTGCGGTTAAACTAAATGATTGGCGCGATTTGAAACTAATATTTTCCGATGGGCTCGTCCTGCCCTGTTCGAGTCGTTGGCCAAATGCAGTCTCGTTTCGGCTGGAAGGACCTTTTATAGACACGAGGAAAGAGCTTGAAAAGCTCATCGAATCTCTCTCTCGTCGAGCACCAGCCAATGTCAATGTCAAGCTCTTCGCTGTTTGGTCCTTTGGTTTGTGCATTTCCCACAAAATAACAGGATTAATGGTTGCGATTTCAATCATAGGAACTAGGCATAGTTTATAGTTTAAACTTTAAAGAGATATTGAAATGAGGACACTTCTATGACATAGGGAGTATGAGAACATTGCATGTTCAAGCCAAGGATATTCGAAAATCCCATGTTAAGGTTTTTAAAGATAAAGGCCCTTCGATTACTTGTCCAAAATGTAATTAGATTTAGACACCATTTCTAATCAATGCACCTACTCGATGTCCAAAGAGGTTTTGTGTTTTTGGGCTTCAGTTTGATTTTCATTCATAATCAGTGAGGCATTTACGAGTGCAGAGTTACTGATAAATGGTTTTCATTGATGACTGCCTCAAATTCTCAAATGCAGGTCGAGTAAGTGAAAGGTTTCTTTTGTTTTCATTGTTCAATGGGTTAATTAACAAGGACCTTATTCCCAGTATTTCAACCTTCCAGGTTACTGAAATAGCCCATTGTTTTTCAAACTACATCCATTCAATTTGTGTGAATTCAATTTTCCAGGATGGCCATGCATGCCTCTTAAGGCTTATCGTAAAAGTTGCATAGATATTTTGTGCCACTTCGAAAAGTTGCACTTTTGATCGTCCTTTTGTTGCTGAAAGTCCTGTGATTCAATAAATTCCACTCAGTATCCACGAGTATCTCATTCCGAATCCCTGCCTACGGGATTTATTTATCGTAGTGAGATGCTAATTAACTTTGGCAGCGAATGCATTGTTTGACGTGATAATTGTTGACTGTCGCAAACAACCTTTTTTTCGCTGGACAATTAAATTGTATTTTTTTTTAACAAAATGTTATTTTCAGACTGCGAAAAAATAACTTAATAAGTGTCTGATTTATGTCCAGCTTATTTGTTCAATTGTTTTCATTGTTGTGCACTGGGTTTCAGTAATCCGGTGAAAGTAGTTTCATTTCAATGACTGTCCTATCTCTTGTCAAATCATGTTAGCCAACTATTGCAATTAGATTAAGGCTGCCACCAACTTGATTCGCTTCCGAACTGAAGTTTGCCTCAAATGCAAATTCCAGCCTGGCATTGAAGTTATAATATGGTTATGTCAAAAGGATGTACATCCGGTTCAGAGTGTATTTTAAAAGCCTTTGTTTCTACCTTTAATGGACTTCGCTATATTTACCATCGTTGTTAATTAACTTGTGCAAGTGCAACTGATGCATGATGCTATTTAATGACATCCCCACCCATCAGTTGCTTTTAATCGTAAAATAGCAAATAGGTGACACCAATTTATGGGCTATGAAAACCATTGAAAAATCAGAGGAAATATAGGACAGATATCGAATAAAGGGGACGTATGGGATTTTCATCACAGAAAAAGCGACTTTTTATAAAATAATAATTAATCTGGCAGGGCATAAACTAAAATATATACATTAAACTTTTAAACAATTTAAAAAAATCCAAATACAATTTACAAAGTCAGGACTAGGTCAGTTACTATGTATTTTTAGGTAACCCTGAGTTACTTTTCTTCGCTCTTAGCCAGATCTTAGATGAGCCAAGGTCTCTGACGAGCTAACAGGTTGCCAGGCGGAAAGCTTTTCTCAGAGAGCCGAATATATGGCTCGGATGGGAACAGAAAAAAAGTGTCGCGCGTCAGCAACGTTTTTGCTTCAATTCTAGGCCAGAATTTCTGGCCCAAATCGTATGTAGGTCACTGGGCCACGCTATTACTGCCCCACAACTAATACGTACATTCGATGCTTTTTTCTCCTTTTTTTTTTGGGTCCTTTAGGAAAAAGACCAGTACGGCAATGAAGTGCAACGGTTGGCACGACCCCTCCCCGTGGAGTATCTTCTGGTGGATGTGCCCGCCTCTACGCCCCTGCAGCCGCAGTACACCTTCACCGAGTACGACAAACGCCAGCCGTTTCCCATCGAGAACCGCTACATCGACGGTCACCTGCAGGACTTCAATGCGCTGAGCTGCTATCTCTCCGCCTGGGGCGAGGAGGAGTTCCTCGAAGCCGTCTCCGACTTCCACCTGCTGGTCTACCTCTACAAGATGGACATGCTGCCGCTGCGCCAGCACATGAGTCTGCTCCTGGAGGCGGTGCGCACAAAGAATCCCAACCAGGCCGCCCATTTCAAGGACGAGGAGGTGTGGAAGCTGCTAGAGTCGCTAATCCAGGCCAGTTCCGGAGGCAGTGGGTATGTATCTTAAAGACTATCGTCATAGACATTTCTAAAATTAAACGATTTTATTTTGAATTTCAGTGGCACCACCAGTTATCCCAGCGGTGGGGCAGCGGCGAATGCTGGGGCTTCAGGATCGGACGCCATGGACCTAGACGCCAACACCTGGACATGCAACCACTGCACCTTCATCAATCGTGGCGAGCTCACATCCTGTGAAATCTGCTCTCTACCCAGATAAGGATTCCCAAACATGAAAATTCCGCGTTGTGCAGCCGGGATACAAAAATTCAAAATTCTGGCGTAAAAACAAACTAAAGATTCAATCATACTTACTTATAGCAGCAGTTGGAAGACATGTAGTATCCCTTAAAAATACACACACCCGAACCCCAAACCTCCTACCCACACACACACAAAAAAGCACTCAGATCAGTGTAAAGGGATATTGAATAAACGCAAAACTTTGTGCGACTGTCTCGCACTCTCTATATTCAAGGATATATATGTGTAAACATGTACGTGTAAGAATTTTATAAAATAAAACAAAAAAAATATGAGAAGAGAAAAAATTTAATTTATTTTTAAATAAATTTCAATTGTTGAGAAGTCGTTTTGTTGGTATTTTTATTTTGCTAATTACAGTATTTATTTATATTTAAAGTTTGAACACTTTTGTACAGATATTTTTGTGCAAAGTAACCTTTTCGAAACTTCAAAGGCAATGTCAAAAATTTGGAAGAACCCAATGTTTAGTCTCTAACAAAATTTTACTGAAACACATCCGACTCTCCAGATTTGGCTGTAAAAAAAAAAAATTATCGTCATTATTTTTACACCGAAAATTTCAATAAATAAACTTGAAGTATAATTACTTGAAGTAAATAAAATACAATGGCGCTTCGTCTTATGACTGTAGCTTTCCGAAGACGTGCTCCCCTACTAGCTGTGCCAAGGGTAAGTGAATGGGATGTCCTTGAACCTGTTTAAAGTCTGGCTCATAGCCTGATTCCTTCAACAGGCAATGATAGCACGGCCGCCAATGGTCCGGACCTATTTTGTTAGAAGTAAGTAGTGTTTTCCAAAGCAAGGATAGCTGAAATTGAATCCTTCCTCCCCAGAGAATCTTACGCCGTTCTTTGACAGGCCGTCTATAATTTTCTCGAAAGACGCGGTCATGCATCACTGGGGGGTAAGTTGCCTAACCCTTTTCTTACCATATTTGGGAAAAGCCAATATTCTGAAACCGTGGATAATGTTTTCGAATTGTGGCTAGTGATTTTTTTTAAATACTTTTCTATGCTTACAATACGTGCCTCTAATAGAGATGGTTAGAGCAATTTCTAAATATTTCTAATTGTCTAAGATGTCATTGTTTACTGAGTGCCAAAGAATAAATGTTTGGGGTCTGTTAGGTGTAAGTTTCCAAACAAAATATTTGTAATTTACGAGACTAACTACGCTCAAGTAGATACAAAATCAAACTGATTGGAGTATTGGAGTGTAGGGTGTGAAAGATACTAAAGAAAATTGGTTGAAACTACAGAGCGAAATATTTTATGCGAAACATTTATTGTAGTATATATGTTATATATAATTTATTATATTATTACGCTGCAACTTTTAAGATGAGTTGGCTTGTGGTTTCAAACAGCAAATTTATACGCAAATTTAGGTTTACACAATACCAACGGATGTCTTCTGCGGGATGAGTGTTCATGGGTGTATGTATGCATGTACTACGATCTAATCAAATCTATACGTTGTCTATGAATACGTTTTATAATATATATTTATATAATATTTATACTGCATAAGAAGCTAAGGGGCAACCAACTTTGAAAACAATTTCGAAGTTCTCTCGAAATCTCAATCTAATATTTTCTCCATTTTGCGATAGAACTCTGTATTGCATAAACACCTGCAACATAACCAGTAAATGTTTCGAGACCAACTGCATTTTAGGCAGGTGGCTTTATCATTAAATTGGTTCATCTTCAACTCTGGGCTTAGGGTCTAATGTTAGCTTCTTTAATCTCGACCTTTGAATACAAATATATAATTCATATATTTATATATTATTTTTTTGAGATTACCTCAACGTTAACACATCATTATCAAAGTTATATATGCGCACGTGTATACATATACATATTGCTTTTAAATTTTTCTCGCTTGCTACTTTTGAATTATAACATCTGACTCGATAATTGTTGATTCATTTGGTTTATATTCGTAGCTTTCGCCTGGAGATTATTCTCTAATAAACTTTAAATTCACACAAAAAGGGTATTGTCGCAAATATGTTTTGTTACATACAATGTTATTCGCTTTTCTGAATCTTTTGCAAAATGTAGTCCATGCACTGCCTTTTGTGTGTTTATTTTATAAAGCAATAATATTTAAACAAAGTGATACCACCTGTGTATGCGCATGTATTTACAAATTAGAATGTTGCAATGTTTTTTACTAGAAGCATTTTATGTTACAGTATTTAAATTAAAACAATTACTAAAATAAAAGATCTGGACAAATAATCCACTCGAATAATTAAGTTAAACTCAATAAACTACATACAATTTCAAAAAGAAGAGTTAGCAGATAATAATTATACCCAATACTAGGACCATTACAAAGTCCTCTTGGAAAATAAGAGCGGGTTATTCTTCAGTGTATAATAGAAAATAAAAATATCACTACAATGAAAAAGCTTTTAAATTAGTTATTAAATTAAAAATGAGCAAATTTGTAGTATTACTATTGCGATTACTGTTTACGATTACGTTTATATGTGGTATCAAGTTCGAAACGGAGAGTACGTTATACGAGTACATTTTACAAATTCTAAAATGACGGTGGTTTCTAATTCAACTATGAACTAATTGATAATTATAATTAAATCTAATATATAATTAAATCTAAGCTTAGACTAAACATTAACAGTACAATATGTTATACAGTACAGACATTTTAACTTTTTTGTTTCGTGTGCATTATAAAGAAAAAATAATTTCGTGCAATCTACTTTTTAATTACAAGGTTTTTCCAGACATTCTTTTACTGGTTTTCCATTAAATTTGTAATCAAATACAGGGATTTTATCTGCAAAAATTTCTTTCACATTTCATTTATTCATTTCAATTCAATTCAAAAAGGGATTATGCCAAGAAGTTCTTCAAGAGGAAAATGACACAAAGGGTTCACATATAGTTTGTTTTTGTCAGCAATTGGTTTCATTTTTCTTAGTTTTGAGATTCGGGGGTTTTAAGCTAAAAAGATTAAATACCGTTTACATGTTCATTGCTATATATCGCAAGAATTACATATTGTGTGATCAGTATATATGAGTGTCTAAACATCGCTACACGTATAGAGCGAGAAATAAAGCGACAGTTACGGTTACAAGATACAGAGCGTTGTATATAGATATCTGATTCTCGTTACAGGCTAAACAAATGATAACTATATCTCATAAACAAATGTATATATGTTTGCCAAATACTTTCTGATCTATGGTTACAATTCTCGGTCCGAGCCAAACTCAATTCAAACGGGTTTCATACTGGATTGCTTATGGCCTAGAAGTTTATATATATATTTATATAATGTATATGTGAAAACTTATTTCTAGCCTTCAAATTGTTTCCAAATCGTTCAATATAATGCACTTGCTTATCGTTTATATAGTTTTTTTTTGTTTTAGTTTGTTAATTATACTTTTATTCACTTTCTCAGAGAAACAAATTTACAACAGTTAGTAAGAGGAGCTTTCAAACACTCTTCAAATATATATTCTTAGAAAGAGCTCAAAAAGATTAATTTTTGGGGGAAACTGAAATAAAAGTCAGATTCTCTGGGAAACAGTATCAGTATTGAAAAAGTTTCTCTCGTTTTTAAAAATTCCTCGTTGCTAACATTGTACTGATTAATTACGTCTAACAAGTTTTGCCAAAAGCTGAGCTCTTCTCCACTTTAAAATTGTCCCGAAGCCATCAGGGTGCTGGATTAAAAAAAAAACAAAATAAAAATCTCCGAATAACTGAAATTGGTTTTCCCAAATTTCACTTTCCCTTGTCACTATTGGTGTAAAGGACTTTTGCCATGTTGTCAATTAGTTGCTGGAAGACGAGTCTAAGTTATGTTTTCGTTTTAGGAAAGTCTTAGCAAGGCTTTCTACAATAATTTCCTTTGCGATTTACTCACCTTCGATTTACATTTTTTTAGTTTTTGTTTTTTGCTTGTTACTTTTCATTATTTTACCCCTAATCAAAAAATCTTCGGTTGTACGAATGCATAAAAATTGAACTTGGTGTTGAATTCGTTCGTTTCAATTTGCTTTCCATTTCAAAATACGTTACAGCTCAATATAATTGATATGTTACGAGCCGGCAAAAGTAATCATCCTCCTTGCTATATAAGAAAACATTACCTTTTAATTGTATATATATATTTTGTGTTTCGATTCTGTATTATATTTAATGTTTTTTTTCTTAACACTTAAATTAGGTTCGAGTACGACTTTTGTTTGTCTTTGATTTTAGCATTTCGTTAAGCATCTCAATAAGCAAAGATCCTCTTTCCATAATTCATATATTATGCGTTTATATATAATTTTTAGCAATTGATAAATATATAGCTTGTTTTTCAAGTATCTATTTCCCAAATACATGTCTGCATTGCTTTCAAATTATTTAACACGTTCACTTAAATATAAGCTTACCAACTAATTCTCAATACCGTAAATTAAATATTACTTCGAGCATTTATAATGTGATTTATGTTTTTTATATTTTCCCAGGATAGTCGAGGAAAATAATTGCTTTCAGATTTTATTGTATACATTTATTTTGTTTCAGTTTTATTACAATTTTCACAATACACTTGTTTTTTATTTTTTACTTACCATTTTTGAAGAATCTTTTCGTGCCTGAGCACATAAATTGACTAGCATTTTGAGAGTTTTGTGTTTTTGGAAGTGTTAGTGTTCTTTTTTTTAGCAGTTGGTTCATAATTAAAAAATAACAACGCCAAACAATAAACAAGAAGCCAAAAAACGCCAGGATAAAATAAAATGCTCTAACTAAACTAGTTCCATTTCGGTTTAGAATTGTTTAGGTTCTAGTAACCTGATTTGTGAATTTTGCTAAAAATTTGGTCCTCATTGGTCACTCAAAACAACACTACATTATCAGATGTACTTTTAGTTCGACATCTAAAAAACCATATTCAAAATGAAAACTAGTTAGCTACCTTGCTTTCATTTTGTCAGTTTGTTGTTTTAAAATATTCCCTGGAGCAAACCTCTAGATGCGATTTGGATTCTTTATGTTATTTTTTAGGTAAAACTCGAAAACTCTGGGTTGACACCATCAAAGTGATATGCGTTGTTTTGTAGCCTTCACAACAACAGTTAATGAAATGTTTTCTTTCGCTTCTCAGCAGGTTTTTCTTAGTGTATACCAAAAATTCTACTCATAGTATGCAATTTGACACATTTTGAGACACGCCTTCACATATAATTGATATATACATATATAATTTTTTTGGTTTTTGGTTTTTTTGTTTTACTAATTGAATATATCACGGTCTTGCTAAATATCATCGTATGTATATATATGTATCTGTATATATGGTTTTTTTTTTTATTATAAAGTTTTCGCCACTTGAGTGTTGCCCGAAGAACATTTAAACGCTATCTAACCCAACTATATTCGAATTTCGAATCGCTAAAATCTCCGCCCGATCCTAATCAAAATCCAAAAGGTTCCATCGGACTCGGATCCGAGTTCATCCACGATTAAGTAGTATAAGTATAAGTACATTTTCTCAGTTTGTTAGGTAATTTGGTTTACGAATACTGACACTTGAATGCTGAAACACAGTTGATCTTATTGTCATATGATGTATGTGTGTGTGTATGATTAGATGTAATGTATGTAGGTATTAAGTATACGCATGGTGTACATGAGCAAGTTTTATATATAATGCTAATGCCTTGCCATTGGAGGTTCTCTAATTTATTCTCAACTTCATGTATGGCATGTATGATCTGAAGTTCACTGCATGATCTAGGGGAATGCTGGTTGTATAAAGTGTAAAGGATTTTTACTCAATTGACTACTTTACATGTTTCGTCATGCGTTTATTTCCATAAATGTGTATATCTATGTATATAGGAATATAAATCTATTTGTATCTAAATATATGTCAATAAGTTGATAGTAGTAAACCTACGAGTAAAAAACAAAAGGTTACAACTTTCGATTCGCAGTGTAAAATGTTGTTGTTTTATATTACAGCAAGTTCTTTTTGTTGGCCCGATGATAAATGAATAAGGAAATCAACTATTACTTTTTGCGCGGAATATAGAAAATCTGGATAACACTACGAGACACAAACACAAGTTTTGAATCCGTTTTTGGAGTTTCTTTGTTGGTCAGAAGCTGGCTGATACCAAGATTTTTTTTTTATCAGCCAACTCTTCTAACTAAGCACTTCAATTCAATTCAATTATTGTTGGTAATAAAAAAATATATATATGTATATGTATATATTTATAGAGCGCGCTGTATAAATATGATTGATCTGGTTTTACTGTACATCAAAATTAGCAAGCTACTACTTTGGGTATATATTTTTGGTACTATTATCGAAAACAAAACATTTCATGGAACATGGGAATATATAATATAGTATATTGTTTGTATAACGAATTCAGACTATTACGAGTACATGGAGTAAATAATTTTCAGATTTTGTTCGCTCTGAATAAATGTTCTGAATAATTCGAAAAGCATACAAAAATATCAAAATAATATTTCAAATACTTTCAATATATGTAACTACATCATAAGAGCATTTTTTGACTTCTTGCGTTTTATCAGCTAAATAAAAATAAATAGAAAATGCAATAATCAAATGTAAAAAAATTTTATTTGGTTTCGTTTATAAAATATATTTGTATATAGAACAAAGATTGTGTAAAAAAAGGAATTCATTGAACTTTCAGGGGGTCGGCAGGGAAATATCAATCTTAAGCTAAAAGCAGTTGTTCTGAGATTGAGATCTGCTAGAGGAGTTTTTGAAAAATTATAAATATTAATATTGATAAGTAAATGGCACCATAACACGTGTGGAATGTGGTTAAAGTCTTAAGCGTAAACAATAAATAAATAAATTAGTTTCTGCATAATGGATATGGAACGAGTCCCGAATTCAGCCCAGCAATTTCCGAAATGAATTTTGGTTAATATATTCGATGTCTTTGGTATACGAACTATGAAAAACAATAATACGTCATACTCACCCCTCCAGGCAAGAAACTACAAGAAATACAAATAGGTTCTCCGCACAATCTTTAATTTCTTTTTTTGGTACTGGCAAATGCATTGAAATTCTACACATGGGTGAGGGGGCAAATTAAGAAACAGAAGAGAGGTCACAGCACAACACAACAGATACAAGAGTGTGGATTACGAGGTATAATCAACTAATACGTTAAGATAGTAGGTGGACAACTATATACACATAAATTAATTAAGAAAACACGAATGGTTTTGCTCGATTCATTGGCAAAGTTTTTTTATCGCTGATTTTTATTAAACATACAAATTACTTCAAATGTTTCAATGTTTTTCCATAAGTGTGTACAAGAGAGTAAATTATACAAACTATATATGTACATACGCAAAAGTTACTTTCAAAATCATAATTAAAAACTAAAATTAGACTTTAAATCATGCAAGCGAATAAAATGAAGAAAAGTAATTATCCAGAAGCTAATGCTCTGGACTCCATAATTCGATTGGTTGTTTATTCCAAGGATGAAGTATTTTTCGAATGCAAACTCAAATGCAAAAACTACAACTATAAATTACAAAATAATATTAAAAACTAAGATTGTGCCATTTAAAACAATAAACTACAGTAAAGAAATGTTACCTGGTTCATGAGTGGTTGGTTGGATGGTTATGGAAATGAAACAAAAATTGATAAAAGTATACTATAGTAAGTTTCATGGGATTAGTATCGACCTGGAAACTCGTCGGCCGGGAGCATTCTTACTTATCGAGAGGAAGCCGTTAAACTAAATTACTTTCTATCCTTTGAATCATTTGAATAATATGCAAATGCAAAATGATAAACAAGTGTTACTAGCTACATAAATGGTTGAGATTGGGTGGAGAGTAGGCTAACACTAAACTAAATCAAAATCAGATGGTCAACACACACAAAACACAAACGAAAGAGTGAGTTGTTCGTTGCTTTTGTATATTTTATATTATTAAGTACAAAGAATAGAGTATTGGATTAAACAGAGTGTGATAGAAGTGAGAAAGTAGGGAAAGTTGTGTGTGCAAGTGTAGGTTTGGTGATGTTTGTTAGCTTGTTGATAAATGAGTTTCTCCGCTGCTGGGTGTATAGCCTATGCTGGGGTGAATTAAATTCGAACTCAACTAAACCTCTAAAATTATAGTTTCGATCAGTTATCATCGTTTTTGATTAACTTGTGTGTGATAATAGTATTTAATCAACTCTTTGATTGAGCAAAATGTTTTCTCTTGCAGTTTGATTCAATTGCTTAATACTGCATTGCTGGATTTCTTCAATTTATATATTATTTTGGGTTAGTCGAGACTGCTGACAGATTCTTTGCTTTGCTCTCTTTGATTTTCTTTCAATATTTAGATGTAATAATTTTTTTTATAATTTTATTTTTTAGTATTATAATTTATGTTTTTTACGTTTAATGTTGTTGTTTTTTATGCACTAAAAATTATATATATTAACGGCTACATTTAAACGCAATCACAATCGGTGGTTTTTTAATGTTTTCCTTTTTGCTTCTATATCGCTTCGTAATTTATTCTTTTTGGTTTGAATTTTGTTTCTCTTCTCGCCTTCCTTTAAATTGTTTTGTTGCTTATATTGCTTATGATTTGTTTTATATTTATATATATATATATTAGTGTTCTTGATCACGCCCTGCGAGCGTCTTAAATATAATACTTAATTTGCCTTCCGTGTGTCGGACTACTAACCAAGTCGAACTCAAAGGAAAACCAACTTCGGATGAGCGTTTCTGAGTGGGTGTGTGGGGGGTGTTCAATTGGGGCCATGAGTCTACAGCTAAGGGAGGTGGTGATCACCTACCCTTGGCTTGGGTTTGTGGGTGTTGGTGTTGTGTGTGAGAGTTGTGAGTTGAGTGTTTCATTCAAATTACCAAACGGAACCACCCCCGCCTTAGACGTACATGCCCATGCCGTACATGGTGCTCCAGTCGACGCCCTGGAAGCTGGACATGTCCACGTTGGCCAGGGCATAGTTGGAGTAGGCCGCGGGATTGGCAGCAGCGGCGGCGGCGGCAGCAGCAGCGTTCAACGGATTTCCGGCCACGAGGGCCGCCTGTTGAGCAGCAGCGGCCAGGCTGTGAGCACCGGCAGCTCCGGCTCCATTGGCTGCATTGGCCGCCAGGGCAGCGGCCGCGGCTGCTGAATGGGCCTGCGAAGCGGGATTCGAGGCAACGGCTGAGTGGTGGCTCTGCGGCTGCTGGTGGGGCTGGCCGGCCGCCACGGCGTGAGTCTGCTGGTGATGGTGCTGCTGCTGTTGGTGGGCAGCGGCGGCCACGCTCTGCGCCTGATGAGCCTGCATCAGGGCAGCATTGGCAGTGGCGGCGGTGGCGGGGATCGAATAAGGAGCATACCTGTACAATAATATAAAACGTGTTAATAGGGGCTTCATTTTGGAAAGGTTTAAGAGCTCACCTGACACTATGCAGGGCTGTCTGCGGATATGTTGTCAGCAGCTTTCCAAAGCCCGTCTGATTGGCTGCCATCGTGGCGGCAGCGGCTGCGTTTTGTACTTGAAACGGATTCTGTGATATGAGAGCGGCCTGCTGGGCGGCGGCGGCGGCTGCCGGCGACTGCAACAGCTGTGTGGGAGTCTGCAACATGGCCAATGGATTCATGGTGGCGACGCCAGTGCCCCGAGCGCCTATCAGTTGGCCGGGAGCGGTAGGCAGCTGCACGCCCAGAGTGCCCAGCATGATACGCTTCTGCAGGAGCTGCGCGGCCGGAGTGACAGCCTCCTTGGGCTGGGCCTTCTTGCACTCGACCTTCTTGTTTTTGATAGTGTGGAAGTGGATCTCGCAGACGCGGTCCACCACGTCCTCGTTCTCGAAAGTGACGAAGCCGAAGCCGCGATGGCGCTTCGTCTGCTGGTCCATCAGCATCACGGTCTCCTCGACGGGGCCGAACTGGCTGAAGTAGGCCTTAACCTCCTCGGCGGAGGTGTCCTGGGAAACGCCGCCGACAAAGATCTTCTTGGTCTTGTTGGCCTGGCGAGGTCGGTTCTTTGGGGTGGCATGCTTTGGATCTATCTTCTTGCCGTCGAGGGTGTGGATGGGCACCTTGAGAACCTTCTGCACGGTGCAGGGTTCCTGGAATGTGATAAACCCAAAGCCGCGACTGCGCTGTTGGTGTTTCAACAGTTTTTTGGGGAAGAAAAATAAGAAGACACAAGATCATTAGTGAGGAAAGGATACTAGTTAGTGCTTGGGAGAGATTTCGGTTAGAGGTATCTAAGTCTAAGTTGCAAAGGTTGAATTATAAGAACTAAGATTAATAATCGTAAAATGTCCTACGAAACGTTAGCAAAAGTCCAACAAAGTAAGAACCAATTCGATCGGAACTCGATCATCCACAAGTATGTATATAAAAGGTATATATAGATTTATATATATTTAAACACAGATACGGTATACAGTTTATATGCGTGTATGTAGATGGAATTTAATCGACTGATTGAGCGTGGCCTCTTAGCGCTGTTTGCTCGTCCAATTCTCCTTTTGGTTTCGTGAAGTAAACATAAACGTTTTAAATTCAAATTCAAATCCAAATCCAAAGAAGACAAAATGTTTTAACTAAAAACTAAGATTGATCTAAGTATACGTTTGCTTTGTTAACAGAATACCAATATTTATACGCAAGTATGTAGTTCGGTCGTTATATTGTCATAGAAACATTACGGAATATAGGCATTCAACGTATCCTGCATACTGGAATGGCAACCCTCTAGATCCCCTCTAGGATATGTATAAGTAGGTTCAGGATTCAGAGGTATATAATATAATATATATATATATGTATATACACCAACGACTTTCTTGAAATGTATGCGGCAATTACATATGTGTGTGGGATAGAAAGATTTTAATTCATAAAAGTTACGTACAGTGCGTTCCGGTGATGTATAGATATTTAGCAAATAAAAAAAGGCCAAATAAAAACTGAATATAATATTATATAATTTAGTGATACAGAAACGCACTGTGTTTAAGATAGGTAAAGTAGAAAAGGTAGATATGCTCTAGATAATGCTCTAATAATGATCTATGCTTTTTTAAGTATTTTCGTTTTAGTTTAGAACCCCTTTGCCATACAATTGCATCTTAATAGTTACATACTTAAAAATTTGTACAAAGAATGAGTCGCGAATGCTTGATATTGATATTAATATTGATATTGTTCTTTCTTAAAATTAAACATATGTTACAGAAACGAGGTACACAGTTGTTGCTTAAGCCTAGGGCATATTCCAAATACAATTTACATGAAATAACTTTGGGGAAAAGTAGTTTAAAGCTATGAGACTACCTACCTAGTGATACATTCTATTTGTATTTCAGAGTCCTCAGATAGTCGGATATAAAAAAAAAAAAGCTTTATTGGGGGAGTTTTAAGAGTAAGTCTTCGAATTTAAAATAAAATAATAATCCTTGAGGGGGATAAAATAAAAATATCGACAAATATTCGAACTACACAACTCAAAATGTATATATATTTTACCTATTTGGTATAAAGAATAAATGATAAAGCAGCAACTAAACACACAAAACAAAATATATTATATAGCATTGGTATATTGGTTACTTATGTAAGACTAACATTTACTGGTAGGGCTGGTTGGTAAATAAAGATATGTGTATGCTCATAATGCTAGCGCTAGGGTTCTTATTTATGTTATACAATCAATTCAACAGTTGCCAGGACGATTCTCGGTTGGCTCGTCTTACGCTAAAGTGGGGAGTGGGGATTGGAGTAGTATTATTGGAGTTGAACACGCCTCTTAACAGATGTTTGAATTGATATCTAGGTTCGATAATCGATAAGTGATTGATTTATTCGTTAGTTTTTTTTTTGTTTTTTGTTGCTTTCGAGGCTTGCGTAAGCTGAATGCGTGGATTTTGGGTGAGAAACGCTAATAATTAAACCAAGTACACAATACGAAGTACGAGTACGAGTACGAGTACGATTAGAAGAACGAGTACATTCAATTAGAGATACGAGTACAATTATGCGGTTATATTTATTGCTCAGAATCATACGAAATACAAGAGTTACGATGCGCCACTTTTAATTTTAATGCTAAACGTTCGCTTTTTATACAGTTTCTCAAAGTACTTGGCGATTTCTTATTTTCTTATTTTGTGTTTTTTTTTTTGGTTGTTGAAAAATGTACCTAAGCCGACGTCCGTTCATCATCCTGCCTGAGGTTGACATCTGCGGTTACCTGCGCCAGGTATTCGATGGGAGATCGCTCCTCTCGGGGCATCCAGCTTTGTCCTTGACTCTCGAGACAGTTCCTCACTTTCGGTTGTGGTTTTCGTTGGTTGTTAAAATTATGTTTGGTTTAGTTGGATCATAGAGTGTCTCTACGTATAGCTAGCTTTATAATTGATGGATATTGCTGCTTATAGACTACATTAGTACTTCCCCCCCGGTAGTACTCATCGCAAGGACCGTCTTCTCAACCAGAAGACAGTTGGTAAACCAGTTTCCTCCCGTTTCTGTTATTTTTCAACGTTCTTTTGTTTGCTTCTTGTATTTGTACTCTTTTTTTCCAGTCTTTGGGAGGAGGGGAAAACAAAAGGTGTTTGGTTCTGGCATCTGTGTGTGTCAGTGTTTGCTGGAGGGGCTAGGACAACCCCGAAGCCCGTTACTCGAATGATCTGACGAGAATACATACATAACTGCCCTATCATGCCAGTCGCAATTGCGCAATTGGCTCTTGGAATGGCACCCGGCAAAACTACCCCAGGCCGAGTCAGTCGTCTACTCGTTGTCCTGTGCCTGCTACGATGAACCCTAACTGCCGAACAGCTGCGCAGGAGCCAAAGACCAGGACGACTGGACGAACAATGCGGCGGCAGCTGCCGTTTTATTACCCAACGGCGCGCGCGCGCTCTTTTTCGATTGGGGAGCCACCTTGACATGCCTGTGTACTTAATTCAAACAGGATATATGGATATATGGATAGTATGCGCTTATCAAACGGACAAATTGCTGATTGCATTACCAAAAAACTCAATTTCCGTTGAAATAACTTCAGAAGGGAAGCCAAAGAAATTTGTCAACAGGAAGTTTGAGAAGGGAAAGGTGGAAGTAATGGGGCTTCCTTAAAAAAAGAAACCATATTCTAAATAATAGAATATGTCTTAATATTAATAATATTAGTCTTAATCTCTTATTTTAAAATTTTAATTAATCCTTCTGCTGGAAATTGTAACCAGCATCTGGCAGGAATAAGGACAACTGATACACCCAGCATATACAAATCTTAACAAGGAAATTGGTTTTGAGTTCGCACCGTAGTTGATTACCCCCCTGCCCCCTGCTCTACATATTTGAAAACCTGATTACATTAAATTTTGGTTCGGTGCTCCGTCCTCTTCCGCCTCCTTCTCTCTCTTCTTGGTCGCTTTTGTTTTTGGCACGTAGCCTTAGCCGAAAAGAAAAGAACTGTAATTCTAGACCGAGCCCCGGTATGTGCAGAAAGGAAAGTGAGGTGAGACGAAAGAGAAAGAGACGAATAGAGCGAGACGGCATGTGCAGGTGGCAGCTGTGCTGTGCCAAAGGTAAATCACAAAGAGGACGGACCAAAATCATAGTAGCTGTAAACCCGAAAAACTCCGAGCAAAGGTCAGGGGGATTATGAAGGAAGAGGAGGAGACCGGTACGGTTACGGTCGCAAGGTATACAATATAATGGGAATATAGGATGTCTGGTGCTTACCTGGGTGACGGGATCCTTCATGATGAGCACATCGGTGACAGTGCCGAACATGCCAAAGTATTCCTTCAGCTTGTCGGAGGATGTCTGCCAGCTGAGGCCCCCGACGAAGAGTTTTCCTGGGGCCGGATCGGAGCCACTGCCCCCGGTCAGGCTGGGTGTGGAGCGGCCCGAGGAACCGCTGTTGTTACTGCCACTCTGTTGGCCAACAACGCCGGCAGCGGTCTCCTCCTTGATCAGGGCCAGATCCTGCTTGAGCTCCTGCACAGCGCCGGGCTGCTCCTGGCCAGCCACGACGGCCGAGCCGGGATTCTGTGGCTGCTGCTGAGTGACCGCCTGTGACTGCTGGGCGGCGCTTTTGAGGACCGCAGCTGTGGTCAGGCCACTGCCGATGGTGGCCACGCCGTTGTTGGCCATGGAGGCCACCAGAGCCTGGTGCAAGTCCCGATTGTGGCGCGGGTCAATGAGGCCCGCTGCAGCGGCGGCGGCCGCGGCTGCTGCATTCTCCATCGGGTTGCTGCGGGCATAGAAAAAATTGTCAGCGGTGAGGGGCAGGTGGTCCCCGGCCGGGGTCGGTGGCGGTGGGGGCTGGTGGTGCAGCATGGTGGCGCCCTCCGTCAGCGCGTGCATTTCTCCTTTTATTTGAATTTTGATTTCTTTCCAATCTACACCTCAACGCAAAATGTTTCTGGGCTTGCTTCCTTTGGGTTTAGGACTCGTTCGGTGGCTGAAACAAATTCTTGTCGTTTTCGCCTGTTTCTACGTTTCTGTCTACTGTCTCCTGTCTCGTTTGGTTTTGGGTTTTCCCTTTTTTCGGCACTTGCTTTGACTACGAAGCTTCCACTATTCTTGCTGTTTGCTATTTGTTTTTGTTGCCAATGGCAATGCCCAAGGTAAGGTGTGTTTTTGAATGTTCTTTTGTTTGGAATTTCTGCAAAAATGTTCTTCCAACACGAAGCACGGGCACTTTATGTATTTTTATGTAATTTTGTTCGTGTACGCGGTTGCGACTGCGCAGTTTGAAGTGTGAGTAATGTCTGAAGGATAAAGGATTTTTCGTGTGTTAAGGTGAGCATGGAGGGAGAAAGAAGGACATTAGGGTTGCCTAAATACCCAAAAAGGGACTAATTTTCAGCAAATTTCCAAACACTACTTTCATATGGTGAACAATGGTGAGTTTGGAACATGGTGTTGCCAACTTGCTTATAGTCTGGAGGAGGTTACAAAAAGCGCCGGTAGTTGTCGCTTGTTATCGGGTTGCTCAACATTTTAAAATCTCTTCCGTTGGTTACCAACATTTTCAAAAATAGGAAAGGCCATAACACAAGTGTTATTTTATTTTTATTTTTTGATTACTTGTGTGGTTTGAAAATATTTGTCGCTATCGGAAATTGTCGCGTTAATTTCTTGATATAATTGTCTGAAGACTATCTTCTGGGTTCCATCCCACAGGCCGTGCCTATCATTGTGATTTCACTTCTGGCTTTCACCACCGAAGTGATATTCTGGTTCCTGATTGCCTTCAGCAGGCACGATGTGGACTACACGAAGAACTCTGCGCATTGTAGGATGGTAGAGACCCGTCAGGGAGTACATTATCCAGCTGAATACCGCAAGGTAAGTACATTTTTGACGTCCATTCAACAAACCTCCTGGATGAAGAACAATATCACTTTTCTGTGGCAGTTCCTACGGTTTCATCAGGAATGCAAAACTCCCAAAGGCTTAGTTCGTGCCTTTCAAGGCGATACCGCAGGACCCGATTGTAAGTTTCCCGCTGAAGATTTATAGATATTATTTCAAAGAAACCCAATCTTATGTCAGTGGAAACTTTATTCCTTTGCAGTCTCTGACGAAAAAAATAAGTCCGGGGAAGAAACTGAATTTAGTGGAAAGAAGTTGGCCGGTCATGCAGTTTTAACTGGAGCTGCCCTTGGCTTAGCTTCTGCCCTATGAGTCTGAACACTGTCATGTTTTTTGGGAATTTTCAATCATAAGATCAGGTCCATTATGGATAAAAGATCATCAAGGAAAAGGATAAAACCTCAAGGAGCGTTCATATGCATTGGCGGTCGTATATGAAGTGGAACCCCATGTCCTTTAATCCCTAACCTATTTCGGTTGCTTGGTATGGATTCGGGAGAAATCGGATCAGCTTAGTCCTGCCGAATTCTCCAATCCATATGAATAGCAAACGTTGAGAACATCCGTGCCTCTATGACTATAATACCCATAGAACCTACTCCTCTGATTACAAACTCACTGAAAGTCTATGTCTGGTATGCAAAAAATATTAAAATTATCCTTGGATCTTGAATAATTTCTCCATATTTTCAGCGCTTTTGCAACTAACCAAGAGTCCTAATCAAATAATACGCTGGAACCGTTTAAATAAAGTTATCTTTATATTTATAAGAAAATCAAAAATAAAAATAAATAAAATTTTAAAGTTAATAAAAAATTGAGATTTAAACTTAATAAACTTTGTTTTTCTGTTTGGTTTTTCTAAGATGTTTTTATAAATTTTTCTTTTCTTTAAGGGGGGAAATACAATTAAAAATTTATTTTTTTCGAAAAATTTTTTTTTGTCTTAATGTACTCTAAATATATCTGAGAATAAGCCTTTAAAAGCATAAAGCTGTCCGGTACCTATTTTCAAAGTAATACGCAATTTAGTGAGTGCGTGTCAGTGGTAAACTTTAGTGAGTGGTAAACTTTAAACGCTTCTACTGAAAAGTCGTGTTTTCAAAGTCGCCGTGCAATGTACAGGTCAGAGATTTCATTTAAATCGAATGCGGTTTTTTGCTTTATGTTTGAAATGAAATTCTCCACAACATGAATTAAAGGATTTTTCATATTTATTTGTTATAACATGTTTTTTTGACGAACAAAGTCGAAAAAAAGTGTGTTTTTTTTAAACATTTTTTTCAATTTCAAATTTTTTCATGGAAAAACCATTTTTTTACATATGAAATAATTCATGTTGTGCGCTGTACCTCTAAGTTTAGTGCCCAGTTGCTGTTTTTTGTTTTAGACGTGATCCTGGGCCTGGAGACTGCACGGCGCAAAAGTTTATCCCCCAAAACACGACTCCACATTATTGATCATAAATGGGCTTAATTACAATATTTTTCGAAAAACTTGACTGATTTTTATTGCCCAATAATTTTCTAATAACATGCAAAAAGAATCGCTAAGATTCATTCAATTCCCTACTTGCATTTCACTCCCAAAGATAGGCCTCATTTTAGGCCTTTTAATTGTATTTCCCCCCTTAAGTAAAATATTTGTTCACCTCATCCACAGGCAATCCCCATTATTGTGATAACGATCATAGGCACCATCGCTGAAATAGTAGCCTGGATAGTGATCGCTTGTACCCGACCCGATGTCTACTATACGAAAAATGCAGCCCGCATGGATCACCTAGAGACACGAACCGGAGTTTGGTATCATCCACCAGCCCCGGGCAAAGTAAGTTCTTAATATTTAAGCTTTAAAGGATTTCCTTAATAAATTTCGCTTTCATTTTTTTGCAGTGGAGAACCATAAACCAGAAATGGGATATGCCGCGCGGGGTGATCTTGGGTAGACAAGGCGATACCGCAGGACCTTCATGTAAGTATTAAATAGATTTTGTTTGGGAAATTCAATGAATCTTACAAGACTAAAATTATTCATTGAATTTGTGTTTAAGTTGTGAAAAGTTTTCAGCGCTTCCTAGTCAGTTTCTATTTTATTTTCTACCAATTGGAATTGTATCTGCATAGCTGGGAAACGTTGAAAATTTTGTACACATTCTAGCATATGGATGAGCCATAGCTAATGTATTTAAAAATTTTCCACGCTTTCCAGTTCCAGAAAAGTCAGACAAAGATAAAAAATCTTCAGATGGGCCGGCGAGCGCTGCATTGGTTGCAGGACATGTGGCGGCCTCGGCTGTCGCTTTGGGCTTGGCTGCAGCATTAGCATAGAGCACGTTGTTTTCGGAAGCTAGTTTCCAATATTAGCAATTAGATAGTATTACCCAAAGGACACCCTTCTTTTTATCCTATCACCCACAGTTCAGAAGGATGGCAAGAAATAGTAACACAATCCAGAAAGAGCTAGAAAATTTTAAAAATCGAATAATGAATTTGTACCTCACGGATGCCTGGATATGAGAATTGGATTCCTAACAACCAAAGTGCCGGAAGAAAACAATTTTCACCGATTATACCTTTGGATGGAGCCTCACCTCAGTGCCTCACTTAAGATGCAGTCTCCACGGAGTGTTAGACGTTAGGACTATATGCTCAGTGGGTAAGTTATTACTCCACAAGAGGCAAAGCTTATAGTAACCTATAACTTTCTCTTACAGTGATGAATTTGAACTCTGAACTGGGGGGATTGGAGATGTGCCTAAATTCTAAATTGGAAACTAGTTATTTATATAACTAGTCCCGCTCGTCTTTTAAGGTTTTGTTGTTTATTATTTTCAAATATATTGTGGTCTATAAAAAGAAAACTTTTAAAACTTTGTTCTTTACAACATTGGGGAGTGTGAACATTTTAGGTGGCGCCATCTATGGTTGAAGTAATGTATGTAGATATTTGTCTGGCGCTAAATGTGCATGTAAAAAGGATTTTTGCCGAGTTCTTTCGAATATTTTAGTATCTTTATTTATTATTCTTTAAAAATTAGTGAATAAAATAAACAAAAATATTATAATATAATACAAAAATCTTTTTTTTTTTATAGAATTGCATTTTAAAAGATAATTTTAAAGAAATGTAAGTAAAAAACTATCCTTATTACCCCCGCCCATTTTGAAAAAGGCCACCAAAAAGCCCTCTAGCATGGAAGTCATGTTTCTCTAAATAAAATATGTCCTGCTGCACCTCTGTCTAGCTGTTGTAACCAAGTAAGACAAAATAAATAACTTACTTAGATATGAATATGTTTTGTTAATGCCGCGAGCAAATTGCTGTACCTTTTGTAAGGACCCCTCGTTCCACCCACCCGTTGTGGACTTCCTGGCCAAAATCTCACTTCCAGCGCGCATGCGCTCTAAAAAAACATCATTCAGGGGAGAATGAGCTCAAAAAAATATCCCTCGAAAAAAGAATTGGTTGGACAATTTTCGGTCTTAAATTGAGACCAGGTTTTTTTTTCTCCTCTCAGCGTGGGTGTGTGTGTAAATGCGCAACTGTGTGCTAAATTGAACGCATGTGTGTGAGGGCAAAAAGAAATCGTGGCTGAGTTAAGTGCGTTATTGATTTTTGGCCCAGGAAATGGGAAATAATGCCAACGGATATGAAATTTATTAAAATAGATTGCAAAATAATTCAATGAAGATGTTGAAAGGCGAGTTGAAAGAGGAAGCGACCTGGATGGGAGGGTAGCTCTGGGGGTTTTGTTCCACCATGTGAGTGTGTCTGGGTGGGTGTGTGTTTGTGGGTGTTTGAGTTTTTCACCGCCGGTTGTTGAACTTTTCCCGAAGTGACGCGGGCGGAATTCGGGGCGCGTCGTCGTCTGCTTGAATTTTTTGTCGTGTGAAAGACGTCTGTCAATTTTATGGCTACTGACCCAGAAAAATGAATTGTTATAAGAATCCTTTTATTGGTTCGGGGTGGGGTCTGAGGGTCTGGCGCACACACAAAAAGGATTTGCCAAAACTTGTGCAGGAAATGCCGAAAATGATGACATCAGCGTTCGTCACCGCGATATGTAATTCGATTAAGCTCGGTTGGCTCGGCTGGCCAACCTTTCATATCCCTACAAAGGACCACCCCCTACGCACTTTTAATTGCGTCAAATAAACAGCAGGATAGGTACTTAGCCAGGAGGCGTTACTCAATTTTTTATGGCCACCCCAGGACTGGGACGGTGGTACATAGTAATTGAGCACTTAAATGTTGCCATAAGTAATAGGCCTATAAGGGAGCTACATACGTAGATGGCTAATAAAATGTGAAGGACACTTTTTTTCATAAATATGTAACAATATACTATTTCATTATCCTTCATAGAGGCTGTCTCTACATCTGTTGCATACTTTAAGGCCCTTCTTTTCACCTTTTCTAGTCTGCCCCATCCATCCTTAAGAAAATCTCCCTAAATACTCCCTAAGACCACAACATCAATTGAATGACAGACTGCAATCAGAAAACTACTCAAAGACCGGATGACTTCGCAAGCCACTGAGCAAAATTGCAATACAATTTTCCGTGTCCACTAAGCCGGATCCAGGATTCGTGTCTCTGAAATCAACAATCCGACAAACAACAAAATCTACTGCAACATGCCAGCAAAACACTCGACAAATTCCAGCAACAAATTGCATGGATTTGCGCTTCAAAAGCCTCTCCGTGCGAATGCAGGCGACTTTCTCCTCCTTTTCTAGCCTCATCCCCATCTGAGCTCCCGGGCCACTTGCCCTTTGCCCTGCATTTGCCAAACCTGCCAAAAAATTTATGTAGATACAAGACTGCAGTTGGACGGGAAAAAGGTGCGAGAGCGCCGCAGCAGCAGCGTCTGTGAGGGGTATTTTCATTGAGAAAAATGCCACGAAATGGAAACACGCCATAGATGGACGGATGGCAACCCTTCTGCTCTGGGTGGGTGCTCCGGGTCTGAGCCTGGCTAAAAGCATATGGCGTAACTTTATTGTTTTTACATTTGATTTTTTGTTGGGTGGAGGACGAGCCACTTGCACCGGGCAAAGTGCAGAGGGCCGGGAAACGCCGCATGAATTCTGCTGTCGGAGAGTGTGCGTCGCCTGGAAAGGTCTATATATCATATATACCCACTATGTGCGCTGGCAAGGGGGGTGGCTTTCGCGGCGCTCGGCTTTCAGGACTGGAACAAGCGAAGTCGACTGGAAGGAACCACCCTCAAGTTGGAAGCTCAGATCCGTACACGGCAGAAAATTATGCATCACAAAAGGAATAATACCAACGGCGGGACACACACAGTCCGGGCCACACGCCGATGGGAGGGAGAGGGTGCGGGCAAACCAACCCCCTGAAATCGGGGGAGATACGAGAATATATATTTTGCAATCGGTGTGCGCGCGCAACCCTCTAAGGCCCGAAGCCCGAAACTCGAAACCAGAAAACCCGACTACCCGACAGCCTGAAAGATGGACGGAACGATGACGAAAACGGAGACGATGGTGGCCGCTACCCTGGGCTGCCTTTCAGTCAACTTTTGGTTTCCGTACGTGCAATTTCTCCCGGTTCGATGACGGATCACGGTCTCGAAAGCGGGCCAAAATCACAATCAGAATCCTGGCCTTTTACTATTCTGAGAGAGTCCTCAACGGGATTCCCATGAATTAAAATGTAAATTAGAAATGGAGTGTTCCCAAATTGTTGAAAACGAAAAGTGTCTTCTGAGAAAATATGAAGAACTCGACTATAAAGGATATAACGTCATATAGACGCTTGCCGATGATATTGTCCTGTCACAGCAGTATTGTAATTCTATACTATATAGCTTACTGCTGGGTCGGGGCATTAACATTGTTGAGCGTCATTAGCAACGAGGAGGAAAAGTCAAGGAAAACGCACCAAGCAGGACTTTCTTTTCCGGCTTTTGGGAAATTCTTCATCACACACACTGACAGTCTAACGAAAAACGCACACACACGCACTATATGCCATTGTGTGTGTATATGAGCAACCGGAAAAATCAATTTTCCATTTTTAATTCAAAGCTCACAGGACACTCGCACACAGCCGCACAGCGACGCACGTGCATTAGTGTGTGTGTGTTTGTGTATGTATGTGTATCAGGCCGAAAAGGGATAAGCAGGATGCTGCAGAATCTGGCAAGAGAGAGCGGGACAGGGAGAGCGCGCGGGAAAGAGATGGCTGGCGTGGGAAAGAGAGCGTCGCGAGAGAGAGCGTCCTAGGCGAAGGAGCATTGGGATTGTGTGTAGACCAAAAGCTGAGAGAATCAATCAGGGACCTACGCAGAAAATTAACAAAGTTATAGAACATACATTTTGGAAAATTTATGAAATATGCTACCACAATATACACCCAACACCCGGGCTATAATTGTTTGATTGAAGCCAATATTGATGGAAAAAGAAGGACAAAAGCCTCGGAAAAAAGGGCAAGGCGACCACTCCCTGATTTTTCTCGCATTTGTGGGCGGACGTGGGGGTGGAAAGAGCATTAAGGGGGTGGTGGATGGCAAGGGGTGCACTTTGTGCCGAAAAAATTGTTGCCAGCCGGATAAGTTCTGGGAGATGCTGCCAAAAGTTGCACCAGAATTGGTAGCTTCCTCGTCATCGTCATCGTCATCAACCCCTAAGCATAATACTTCAAAGGCGTGAGGACGGTGGGGGTTGGGGGACTGCATAGGAATACAAAAATGAAAAAAAAATATAAGAGATGACAAAGATTTCGGGGCAAAAACAACAATGGGAAGATGATGAATCGGGAGCAGAGCAGGGACAGCTGAAAAATGCGATTTAAATGCAGCAGCCAGAGGGGGATATTTTTTTCGCTAAGGGTTGCTCTCATCTTTTTCCTCATCCTCTTCCTCTGGCTCTGGCTAGGACTCCCTCTTGCGATTGATGACGATAATGGTTTCAGCCTACAAAGAGACGCAGAACGGGGTGGATCCCCCCCCAGGATATAACCATTCCAGGCTGCTGGTTTGCCGGCCCAGGATGCACATGCTGTTGCTATTTCTGTTAACTGTCAGCAAGGATCAAAGCCTTGATGGGCGTATATCTCTGCCTTTGTGAGCCCATCCGTGTGTCTGTGTGTGTGTGAGCCTTCCTAAATACTTCGAAATTGGCTAAGCGTTTGTTGTGATTATCGAATTGACAATGCTAAGCTGTGCTTGAGGTAGCCAAGATGAATCTACACGAACAGGAACTCGTTGCATCCTTGTCAGGATTAGGGGTTGTTGCCCTTAAAAATGCACTAAAGGTGGTGAAGTTGTTCTATTTGAAACGAATTATGTTTCATAGGATCTTATTTCGTATCTCTTTATGGGTTTTATCACTAAATGAGATGAAATCATATTTCAAAGGGAGTTTCAATCAAATTTCTAAATTAGGGACTCTTTTGTATTTATTTTTAAAATTTGAAAATTTGTTTCTTATTTTCATAAACGGTAGAATTAAACCCTTCTCAATTCGGGATAATAAACTCATTTAAATAAGCATTTTAAATCAACTTTGTTCTCCTCTATATCCCTAATGTTTTCCTATAAAATACGATATGGAATATACACATTATACACTAAATACATAATTACACCATTTAAAATGACACGAGAAAGGGAGTCCTTTCCCCTATAAAAAAAAGGAAAGCTCCTGTCATAAAAAAGTGCGGAAATTACGTTGACCTAAAAATAAAATTGCCAAGTTTGCCGGCTTTTCCAGCTAAACACACTCAGCGCGAAAGAGACAGGAAGCCGAAAAGGGAAAAAGAGAGCCAGACACGCACTTGCACTCGTGTACTTCAAATATGATGAAAGGGTAATCGTTTTACACACACACACATATATATAGATACTTTCGGAACAACAAAAACAACACGCAAATGATAGAGGATGAGGTTTTGACAGGATAAGAAGGATAAGGACAGGTAAGAGCGGCTTCGAGGGTGGCTGTGCATGTAAATGCCCGGAAAAACTCAAGGGTTAAGGCAAGTGGATACCCCGGCGAACAAGAGACTGCTCCCCGTTGCCCCGCCCATGTTTCATGCAAATTGTCGGCGCTTTTGTGAGCTTATTAAGTGCTTGAAAGTGCATTAACAAAAAATAGGTGGCAGGGGAAAGGAGGTGCAAGGACCTGCAGTCTGCAAAATGCTTTCAAGTCAACCCACTCGGAAATGGAAAACCGACAACGGCTGCTCCCCTTTCTCACTCGTTTTCAAGAATGACAGCATCGAAATGAACAAGGACACTGTGAGAAATGGATATACTCTTTCTTGTATTAAAATAAACAAAAATTTGATGTTGACTTCGTCTGACGCATTTTTCTAATTTTGTTAATTAAAAGGTGTGACATTAGCCAGCGCCCTATTGAAAAAGTTTCAAATTACAGAAAGCTACATGTATGTGGCATCCTTAAACAAATATGTGGCAAGGACAGTTGGTCAGGTTGCACATTTGCATAGCAAATCCTCTGGGGCACGAAGTGAGAAGCGCAGGATGGGTGGGTGGGTGAATCACTAAAGACGCCACTTGAGGTTGTTAGACAAACTAGACTTTGCAGTGGCCACTTTGGGTTATGAAGGACTTCGACAGGTCGGCTGTCTGCCTCTCTGGGATATTGGCCAACAGGAAGTAAATAAACTGAAGCCATTAAAAGTTAATTTATTCTTAATTTTAAGGCTTTTAAGCAGAAGGATTTTTACTCAATTATGAAGACGACTATTGAAATAAATTAAAAATAATAAAAGTATAGATCCAAATATTTGAGTTGATTAAAAGATTTCTAAGAAACAAATTAAAAAATATGTATTTCAAATACCTTGAAGCCTTAAAAAGCTTTTGTCCTGACAAAGCTTAAAATGGTTTGGAAATTATCCTTCCAGCTTTTATCCTGCAAACTTTTCTCTCGCTGCATGGCGAAGCTTTGAAACTCGGTGAAGCTCACCATAAAAAGCTTTTTCTAGCATTATACAGGATAAAACAGGATACATGTTAACAGAGCTACAACAGTGGTAAAAGTTTATCTCTGTTAAAGGACGAAACGCATAGATTTAGAAATATGACTTCTGATTAAAATGATTTTTTAAATAATAAAAGGCAATAAAAACCTAAATTTGTTTAGGTTTCTGAGTATTTAAGTATCTGAGCCTTTTGATAAATATTTCTCTAATTTTTCCCAACCTAAATAGGGTCAGATTAGGCTTTGAACCAATTCCAAGCTTGAATATAAGCATATTTTTATTTTCCTCTAAAACATAGTATATTCAGCAAACAACTAACATGGCTGAAACTACACTTATTGTAGCTCCTAATAGGTTCTTAGCCATGTTTGACATTCTCGTTTAGTTCCTCAAGAGGTGTAGCCTAGCCATAAAATTTGATGTCAACAATTTCACTTAACCTTAACTGATGTAACAAATTCGTTTATTCGGCTCATTGTTTACACACAACAACAGGGCTCCTCAAAAGGAATATGTAAGGCTGAGTCAGCCGCTTTGAAGCAACGCATCCTGCTTATGTTCGCAGGATGCAGCCGGAGAAGTGCCACTTGAGAAAATGCTTCTTTGCGATTCGAAAGGCGGAGTGGAAAAGGACGAAGGGGGACATACTTGTACATATATTTATGAACGTTGATGCCCGCATATGAGGCCGGAGATGGGGTTGGGACACTCGTCTGCTAAATGCTGACACCAAAGACAGACTCAAGTATTTTGCGGGCAAATAGTCCAAAGCTCCACTTCCCGGGTCCCTGCAGCCGAAAACCTACTCCCCCGACCACCATTCGCAACATCCTTAACCACTCTGAATATCCTCGTAATAAAAGTCATTCGAGTGACATTTTTGAGCCTGTGGCCATAAAGTAAAAGGCAAACAAAGCTCAGACCGTGCCGGAGCTCCTTTTCCAGTCGCTGTTTTTTAATCGATTATTGTCGCGTTATTGTTTTCCGCCCCTCCTTCTCCCAACTCCCTCCACCTTGCCCATTCCGGAGCGTGTTAAAAAACAAATCCTGTCTGAGTGTCGTCGCATTGCAACAACAATGGGGCGCTGCAAAAAATGCAAATGCAGAAATCTGAACAGAGACGACAAAAGATTGTACATTGAACTTGTGCTGTATCATCATCATCTCCCGGAAGGGATGGTTTCAGGGGGGGATTGAAATGTCCTCGTATGCCCTGTGACATCATATTCAATATACATAATCCCGATAAGAGGAAACGGTCTCAGATATGGTTGGTTACCTTCGTTTATCGGTCCCTGCCTGCGGGTTGTATGCGTCTATGTTTTCTGTTTTTTTACCCTAAATACATTTTTATTCTCGTTGTTTTCGTCACGTTCTGCGATCGGCGATAAACCCAAAGGAGAGCAGCTTCAGGAGGTCCTTCTTCGTGTTGAGTTTCCAGGCAGAAATGCACGCGCCGGATGTCGTTAAAATGGCGCCCGCTACTTCCGGTGAGCCAAGTGGCGTTGGTTAATCAAAATATGTCAACTTACCTGAAAGTTAAAAAAAATATCAAATTAGTTATCAGTATTTCGTATTTCGCATAGACATACATATCTTAATTAAACTAAATGTCCCCTTTAAACCTATGGTATACTGAGCCTATAAAAAGAAGTACTTAACTTCCTAAAGACTTAAATAATTTAAATATAATGTAATTAGTCTAAATCCGTTTATTGACCTATCCCAAAAAAGCTTGTGAGTGCTAAATGCCCTAAAACTTGGTCACTGACACAAATATCTCTCCCACTTCCCATCCCGTCATCGCCACCTCCACTCTTGGCCAACAGCTTTGTTGACCCAACAGATTAACGGCTAATGGCAGGCACTCACACCGTAATTCCAGCCAACTGAGCCGTTAACAATTACCGCCGCTTGTTAAGATAAAAAATCAATGAAGTCGAAAGTAAGAAAAAGTGAGAAAAGTTCTGCATAATAAACATCCGAAATACATAAAAAATAAAAAGCTTTAAAGCAATGCAGCTGACGAAGATGTGTGCCAAAATCTTTATCTCTTTCGTTAATTTACGTTCAGTTGTAAATCCCGTATCGTCGTGAAAAGAAGGTATCCCTCGGTATATATGGTACTTATGAGAGATGGAAAGTTTTCTACGTTTACTGCTCGTTTGCCAGGCAGGTGATTATCATCATTATAGATTGCGACAGCATTGGCTTTTACACAAGGAAAATAAAGTGGATAGTGGATTTTTAAAAGATTTATAAATAAATAGAAAATAAAAAAATATCTTACTAAAGTCTCTGAATAATCTTGTGATGTGAAAAAGTGAAATAGTGGATCTAATATTGAAAACTGATTATGAAGAAACAAAATATACGAAAGCTTTTGCTTCAAACTATAATACTTAAAAATAATAATAAAATTCAATAAATAATCCTGGCTTTAAGTTTTTTTGTATTAGAGAAATCCGGATAAATTACTTTTCCCTGTCCACTTTTATTTTTCCCCTGTGTACTTGGCTCATTTGCGGATTGTTCTAGTTGCACAGTTTCGAGCCTAATGCACTTTCATTACGTTGACACCAGTTTGTTTGTGGCTCGCTGCAGCAAAACTGAAAGATTCTGATTATAGGGCTGGGTTTGAGGACAATGCTGCTGCTGCTGCCGCTGTTGCCATTGCAGAAAACAATCAATTGGTGCTGGTGGAGGAGGATGCTGGCGAAGGTATGCTGGCGAAGGCAACTGCAACTAAGAGACCCGCAGTGCAAGTAAAAGTGACAAATGAAGTGGAAAGTGCCATCGGAATGAGAACGATGATGACTGCACTCGTGGCGAGGACGAGGATGAGAAATCGGGACGCCGCGCCGGGGCAGGCCGACTACTTTGACACACAAATGGCTCGACTGTCCCACCTAATGAGCAGACAGCAACCTGATCGGCTGCCAATGTGGGATGGGCATAACCTGGCCTACAATCCCAGCACGGCCGAGCAATTACTCCGCCTTCAGCCAGACTACAAATTGCTCTACAATGCCGACCATCATACCTACTTCCATCTGCACACCCTCGACCTGAAGCCGAATATCCTTCAGAAAAAAGAGAAGGAGGCTCCGCATCGACGACTTTTCCAGCAGGTTGTGGGCAACACACTGACCGCTGCCTTTGGCCTAAATGTGATGAGCAAGGGGGAGGTAGAGGCGGGGGAGGTCATCACCGAACAGGTGAATCTCTATGATGCCGCTTCCCTACGGAGGTCCCGCTTTAATCCTTTTAACCCCACCAGGTGAGTGCTTAGGATTCAAAATTCAATCGCTTTTTTTGGCGTAACATTACTCTACATTACCCTATATTACTCTTAAGTTTAATTCTAAAAGCTAAATATTTTTAAAATGTTTGTAATCCATTGGGATATACATTAATATAATTTATTAATAACTACCTTTTTTGTAAGAACTAGTAAGAATTGTTATGGTATTAGTTTAAAATGAAACAAAATCTATAAAACTAATCCTCTTTCTTTTTAAGTTTATTAAATTTTAGAAAATACGCTAGAGACAAAATTACAGAAACAAAATTGCAAAAAAAAAAAAATTATCCTTTCAATTCCATCTTAGACAAAACAAAAGTTAATCCTGCTTTTCTCTGTAACCCCCACAGAATCCTAATTCATGGCTGGCTGGGAAACGAGAATGCCAATATGTACAGCGCCCTGCTGCCTGCTTACTTTAATCTCCAGAATGGCAGTTACAACATCTTCACCGTGGACTGGGGACGTGGGGCCATAGCCGACTACATCACGGCAAGCTATCGTGTTAAGCCAGTGGGCCAGGTGGTGGCCAAGTTCGTGGACTTTTTGAGCCAAGAGGCGGGACTCCGCTTTGAGGATCTCCAGCTAATTGGCTTCAGCATGGGAGCCCATGTAGCTGGCCTGGCGGGGAAAAATCTGCAGACAGGACGTCTTCGGATGATCAGGGCTTTGGATCCGGCTTTGCCCTTCTTTCGCTACGCCCAGGAAAAGGAGCGACTCACCTCGCAGGATGCTGAGTATGTCGAAGTCCTGCACACGAGCGTGGGCAGCTATGGCTTCGATCGACCCCTGGGCCATGTGGATTTCTATGCCAACTGGGGTAGCCAGCAGCCGGGATGCTTCTGGCTTGAATGTAGCCACTGGCGGGCTTTCATGCTCTTTGCCGAAAGCCTTCAGTTTACGGGACTTGAGGACTTAGGTTTCCTGGCGCGCGGATGCCCGACCTCTGAATGGCAACAGCTGACCCGCTTACACCGTTGCATCAAAGAGGGGGCTAACCAGACCATGGGCGGGGATTTGGCCAATGCTACTGCAGAGTTCTTGGCCAGACGGCGCGGTGTCTATTATTTTCCAACAAATGACCAGCCGCCCTATGCTGTTGCTGTTGCAGTTCCAGTGAAAACACAAAATGTTGGCCCAAAGGGTGGCACAAATAAATAAACACACACAAATACACAGAGAAACGGCAAAGAGAACGTAATGAGCGAAATGCCGGGTGCTTTTCGCGTTTTTATTTCTAATTAGTAAGTGCACGTTGTATTACACACATGTGGATTGGTATTTGTGATAGTGTTGGTGTTTTTGTATCGGTGTGTGTATGTGGGTGTGTGAGTGTCTATGAGTTAGTGTTCCATTTCTAAAAGCTGGCTGGCAAAATTAAAAAACGCTGCCATGTGTAAAATGCTTTTCATGCCAGTCACAGTCATCTACAGGAAATGGGGGAAAAAATCTGTTCAAACTTGCATGCAGGAAAATATAAGTACAAACACAAAAACCGAATCTAGTTCGGTCTGTAAAATCATGTAGAAATGGATATTCCCTCCAAAAAAGTAATAAAAACCAAAAAATTTTGAGTTTTAACAAAAGGGTGCAGGGAAAATTGATCTGCAGTTTACATCAGCATTTAAAATAATATTTATTTCCACTTTAAATGGGATTTCTCTATGCTTTTTGATTTACACAATACATGCAATCTGTTTAAATTTATCCTGACAAATATCCTTGCTCCGCAAGGAACTCTGCATACAACTGGCTTAATTTATAGGCCAGACTTGAAAGAAAGTTTTTAGAAAAAAAGAAAGTTCACCGCCACTTCTTCTCCTCCAGAGACCCATTAAAATGTTTAGCTAGCTTTTTGTGTGCAAAGCTCATAAATTAAAAAAACTTGGCTTAGCTCAATGTTGGCTTTAATTGGTCATGGACACACACAGCGCTTTGTACACTGATTCTATGAGATACTATTGAGGCCTTGGAGCCGGCCAAAACGTCGCACGGCTGCCGCTAATGTGATTTTTACGCATCATTTGAGTGAACAACCAGCAATTGGCCAAAGGGCACAACAGCAAGGAAAAACAATAATAAAAAAATACGGCGGAAAAGTTGGCAGCTGTGGATGGCTTCAATGGGAAATTACGTGAACAAATATTGGCAAAAGCCGAGCAAATATTGCTATCAACATAGCCCTGAATTTATAAAAGAATATTCAGGCGGGACAAATTTTTGCAAATGTGGAAAGAAATGTTTAAAAACAAACATAAAAACTTTATGTTTGAATATGTTTCAAAGGGTTTTACAAGTTTTTAAATAAATTGATAAAAGTCACCACGTTAAAGTATACATTTCTTGTGAGTTTCTTATATGTTTTCATGTTGATTTTGTTTCAAAGTTAGTTACTTATTCAGTTAATTGAATATTTCTTACCATAACATGGTCTCTAGGTAATTCATGAATCCGGAAATGAAGAAATTGAGTTTTATTTGAAATTCTTATATTTTCACTTAATATTTCTTCCTCTTTCACTTGCCACACAAACCGAATTATTAATTTGAAATGATTTGATTCTTCTTTCTCACATGCAGCACTTGCAACAGTACCAGCAGTAGTAGCTATAATTCAATTAGCTTGAGACGAGCTAAAAAAACTCACTTTGGGATTGGAAAATTTAATTTTGATTCTTGGTTAACTTGTTAGACAAAAAGAACCGAGCTGAGAAGTGAATCGAACAAGTCTCGCCGACTGTTGCCAGTTGTGCACTGCAAAGCAAACTGAAATTGTTCTCAGCCAAATGGAAAGACGGCTAAAAAAAAATAGCAAAAAGATGGCTAATTTGTGTCGCGTCTTCCAGCCAAGGGGGCTAAAGGGAATGGGTGGAGTGCAACTGAGAGGGTTGTGGGTTCTGGGCGGATTGCGGCGGTGGGGGTGGCAATTGGGAAGCCTATGAAGTGTGGCCCGCACTTGAGCCAAAGAGTTGACGCACCAAACTGCAAAACGGCAAAGTGAACGGAAAGCCGAACTGAGTGGCACTGGAAACTGAAAACTGAACACTGAGCCGAGCTGAGCCCTCAGACAATGCATTCCTAATTCCTGTTTTTGGGGGGCAGTTGGGGGTTAAGGGTGTGTTGCATGCCACCCCTAAAAATGCTTGCCTTTTGCTGTTTCAGCTTTTTTCAAACTGACAGCCCATCAAACCAAACTCGGAACAAGTCCCTGGGAAGCAGTCATAAAGTGTCGCGCCTCGTGCTTCCGTTACGTTACTCTTCCTAGCACCTGCCACCTAGTGGTATCCGCCTTAGCCCACAATGGCTTCCGGCGCACGCACACCATGGTCACACGACAGCACGGATGCAAGGATATCAGGATACAAGGGTACGCCCGGTAAGTTTTCCAGCTGTTTGTATCTGGCTCAAAGCGCATATTACTTTGCCCACAAGCAGCTCTTGTTGCAACAGTAAGCGGCAGGATTAGCCGGCTATTCATCTGTTCAGCTGCTCATCTGCTCATAGTCTCATCTCTGGGAGCTACTGAGTCCTGTGGCAAAACCATTGACAGTGTCAGGCTCAGAAAACTGCTTTGGGAGGTAGGGGGAAGCCACTGAACAAAATGAGTTCTAGAAAATAGGCATTACTTTGGATATTTTAAAGTAACTCGCTTTATAAACTACACTTTTTGGAATAAGTTATACCTTTGCTACAAGATGTAACTTTAAAGTTTAAGCTCCTGTTTAAAAATCAAACCAAATCCAAGTTACCAAAAATTGTTTAGCATGCAGGACTACAAAATTTGGAGGAAAATCGAAAGGGAATCCTATGCTACGGAGAAAAGAAACCATTGTTTTACAGAAATGTGGCGAAAAACCAAAGCCTGGCGCCGTGCGGGTGCAAAAAGATGCCTGACAACAGAAACAGCAGGTGGCCTTGGGGGGATTGGATTTTTTCACCTCTTTTTTTTGGGTGGCATTCTGCTCAACTGTTCACACGCAGTCGGAGGTCTTTGGTTAGGTGACCAGCAGTCAGTTTATTTAATTGAAAGGTCAGTCTGCAGGATACAGTAGCTGAAATTGCTCGGCTTGGCAAAGACCAGAATGTTGATTAAAGGGAAATCACAAAACGAAATGAAAAAGGATAATCCAGTAAACCCTTTTTCTTTCTGCATAAACTAGTCACAAAATAAAACTCAATTTGTAAGAACAATGTACAAAATTTCCGTAGCTGAATGTAATTTTTCGGGCAATACCTTGAATCCAATAATGTAACAATCATTGCAATGGAAAATACCTAAAACCACTCAACGTCAAAGTTGGTAGAACTATCGAATCGTACTGTTGGTAACAATTACATCATTTCATAGACAGAACGGAAAGGAACAAGCTTTTTTGGGGCGGAGGGACGAAGCCTTCTGGGGACGCTGCTCTTGTGCCCAAAACTCGCTGGAACAATTAGCCCAAAAGGTTGGGGGTTTCGGGGCTTGGAATAATTCAAAGAGCGCGTCGTCGACAACTGAAGCCCTATGAAAAAGTTTCAGTTTTTGCGCAAACAAATTGGATTATTCGATTACGTGTTTGTACAAGCGCAAAGTGCGACCGAGGGGAAGACAGGCCCGAGCGGGGTAGAGGGCTGGAGAATCAGGTGAGTTGCAGGTGGGCTTGGAGGGCAGGGTGAGTCTGAGGTTGGCTTGTAAAGCGGCCAAGGAAACAAGTTTTTAAGGGCACCACAGGGGTTTGGTTTCATTTTTTTTTTGTTCATTTTATAGGGGTTGCAGTTTCTCTTGTTTGATTTTGATTTATTTTGGCATTTGTTTGCCAATTGGCAAATGTTTGCAAATCTATAGAGAAAAGGAACGTAATCCATTATAGATATCTGACGATAAAAAAAATTTAAAGTTGAATAGCAAAAAGTTTTGATATAGATAGACCTTTGATGCTGGAACTATCTTGAAGTGGGGGCATTACAAACTAATTGGCTTAAACTCTATTTCTAATTGGCAGAAATATATTTTAAAATATGTTATATTTCACATTTTTACAAAGGAACTCTAAAAATAAAATGCTTTCAACTGTCTGGCACACAAATTGAAAGTCAATATAGAGAATAGTTGGCAAACACCTCAAGCTCCTGCCAGCAACTACAATTTATTGTTACAAACTGGCTTAATTGCTGGCCAGTGGTGAAGAGGGGGCTTTTGAAAATGTTACTTCTCTCTTTTTTTAAGCCCTTGTCGGAACCAGAACCGAAATCAAGGGAGAGTCCTGGGCGGGCTAGGAAGATTGGCGATGTTTCTAGACACGTTGATTGCTTGCTTTTTAAAATGAGTTTATATGGTGGCTTTGGCCAGGTGTTTGACATTTGTGCAATATATTCTGAGCGAGGAGCTTTTATTTATTTTGCTGGCATTGAGCGGCAGACCCGCAGCTGTCAGTGTGCTTGTCAAACGGTGCGTATGAGTGATTTTTAATTTAAAATTGATTCTATGGATAATAAGAGGCCCGGCTTGCTTTATAACACAAATCTCAAGGCAGCCTGAAGCCAAACAACTTTGGAAAACAAAAATGACTAGAAGGGCGTTAAAGTAAAGTGTGAAGTTCAAACGGGCTAAGACCCTTTGGGGGTTGAAAACAACATGTGCAAGTTATGTCTAATCGATAAACTAAGTCGAGTATATTTTGCTGACTGGCACACAATTAACCCTTTACGTGCCAATTGGTAGCCAAATAAATTAACCTACACACACACACTGAGAGACACACTCGGAAAAAGCCAAGTCAGCTGAAAATGTAGCTTTTTAATTGGCCCAGCCGACGCCTCGAAGATGGTCATAAAAAGTTTTCCTTCGAAGAATTTTACGAAAACTCAACCTTAACACGAAAACGCCTCAAAACTTGAGCAAACTTGAATGGCCTTTGCCAAGTAACGTGGATAATTAAATTAGGCCTTTTGTTTACATTTTAGTTCATTGCTGTGCAGTTTTCCCGCCCCAACCATTTTCTATTGTTTTGCTGTCAAGGTGATGGAAATTAATTACGCATACGCCATGTGTGACCGCGGTGGGAGGTGAGTAGAGAATGGTCATCTGCGGCAAAGTAACAAGTTAATCGTTTTCGACTGAATAATACATAAAAGAAAAATGCTTTCTCAACTTTAAACACTCTCAAAGACCGCCAAGGAACTCCATTACGAAGTCTGTCCACAACAATCGACCAAAAAGTAACTTTACTTACCATTAAGCTTGACAGTCATCCCAGGACACTCATGCACCCAAGCAGAAGCACACACAAAAGGATATATATGCCAGATTTCCTAGGATTTCCCGAGGATTTTTTTTCGTTATTTGTTGTGCCATGCAAAGATCCTGCCTTTTGCTTCGCTGCTGAATGTGCAGAAAATCTGCAACCATCGACCAGCACAATACAAATTGAACGGTTCTACATTATAATTCATTGTATGAGCAATGCGATTTTTCGGCATTCCTTAACTGCGATGCAATTCCCCAGAAAGCGGATAGTGGAAATGGCTACCAGGGGCAGGAATACCCAACCATACCGTCCTCTCCCACAACTTTTAACAATGACATTCGGTGACCCCCCACATACCAATGGATCCCGTATGGCAAACACTGTAAAAACTGCATATGCCATGGGGCAATATGTACGTCCGAGTTCCGGCAACTTTTTCCCACCACAATTTTTGTCGTTTGTTGCCAGTTCACTTGCCCTTTTCTCCTGCCCCTACTCCTGCCCCCGTGGCAACTACCCTTTCCCTCCATTCTTTTTTTACAAACCACTGTTTCTCTTGCTCTGGAAATTTATATTCGTATATATATTTTTATATCCTTCCAGAGAGTATTTTAATTTTGATTTAAATTTACAAATTATAAATCTGATAATGTAAGGGTTCATATTTTCATTGCCGGCTTTGAAAGGCCCCCACAAGTCGAGTAATGGATAGTAATATTCTACCGTTTTTTTGCGAGGGGTAACATTCCTGAAGTTGATTTACGTTGGCAACTATTCAATAAAATATTTTAAAATAATTAAATAAAAAAATGGCGCCTTCCTCCTCGATTCTCATAGGTTGCACTTAAGCAGGCCTGAATTTCTAAATTTTTTTTTATTTTTCTGGTCTGCAAGGGGTCTGCATTTTCTGGTTTTAACTGCAAGGGTATATGAACTTCGACTTCGTCCAAAATAGCTTCACTTTTATTTGCTCAGATTGTAACACATGAGTTTGTATTTCATTTCGTGTCGTACGCAAATGCTATAAGCACTTGGGAAAAAATTAAGCAATTTATAACAGAATATAGTTGCGATATAAACGAATAAACCCATCGATTAATAATAATTGTTTGATTGTTTTCTGCATGGATGTTTATTGGAATTTTTTATCCCAAACTTTTTGTCTTTTCTGGCGTAAAATTACTGTTGAATTAATGCAGAATACCAGGCGATGGTAACGAGAAAATAATTTATTCAGCTTAGGCTCTCAAACTTTACGTAAATCTAAACTCGACTGGCAGTTTTCAGTTAAAGTTTGCTTTTGTTTTTATTTTGTATGCCAATTATAAAAGCCGCATGAGCTGCAAAAGCGAAAACCAAGTTCAAGTTGGCTTTTATCCGAAACGCTGGGGTCTGGACCCACTTAACTCCACCATCCCACCCCCAGAAAGTTTGATTACATTTTTATTTGAATTTTTGCTTTTACATTTTCCCTTAACCCACTCTGTGGCGTGGGCATAACGAAACAAAAATGAATTTAAGCTTGCCAGGTAGGGGAGGAGGTTTTTAAGCAAAATGAATAAATAATTCGATCGCAGCTTAAATCTCATTGTTGGTAGCCTTCCACGGCCCTTACGTCTACTTAAAAAATATACATATTTATAATTAATGTTAAAAGGTGTGTCCTTAACGAAGTCTTATGGCTTACCCAACGTATAAAGAAGTGGCATTCATCTCGGATACTGACCTGCAATGGACAGAGAGGAAAACGGATAGGAAAATATGATTATAATGAGGTATATTATGCATTCTCCGATCATCTAAAGTTTATTACAAGGAAAGCTAAGGATAACGAGGAAAAACAACAACTGCAACACGAACAATAACTTCAACTACGTTTCGCTACAAAATTGAATTGTCTGTTTATTTATTTTGTTTTTTTCTTATAAGCAAAAGAGAGAGTCAAACATCAACAGCTTACGGGGCAGACTAAAATTTCCTTTTTTCCCCAGTAATGCTGTAAATTGCATTTTCCTTCGGGGGCTAGACAATATCTCCGGGGCTTCAGAAAAATAGACGGATGGCGTTTGATGGAGAGGTGGAGCAGAAAAATCTGTCAATTTTATGGGAAAAGCGCAGCATTAAATGCATAAGCGGAAGCCAAAGTATCTTTTTTTTTGATAGATGAGACTTAGAGGAAGGCGACATTTCTGACGGAAGTTTTAGATTAAGTAATCTCCAAGGTGGGAAGAACAAATTTACATCTTTCAAATGCTTCCTTTACAGGCTTCAAAAATTTATTTAGTTCAATATTATAAAATCAATAAGAAATCAAATATTCCGCTTCCCGTGATAATAAAAATTTAAGTGGGTTTGGGAAATGGTAGCCATCCAAAGTTGGCAGCCTATTTTCCAAAGAGTTGGCAAGCTTCAGATTTTTTGGGAAAGCGAAAAGATTTCTTGAACTGCTTCTGTAAAAAGTACTAAATATTACTTGAGAGAAATTAGAGACACCTACATGTACTATTAGAATCATAAACATCCATAAATCCTATCATAAAAAATGTAAGAAAAAAAGGTAAAATCTCTGCCAAATTCCGTGTGTAAAATCTGTGTAATTTTTTCTTTTCGTGGCTTCTGCAATCAATATCGTCTTTTGACACAAGTTTCATTAGAGAACATATTGAACCTTGGGAGGAAGAACTGCTCCTTTGGCCCTCCCCTGAGTCAAGATGAGCAGGGAGCAAGTGGCAAAAAGTGAGGAGATGCACGTGCCAAAAGTCTCAAGTTTAGCTGTTGCTGTGGCTACTCGCAAAAAATTTGCTTCAGGCGCTTTTAGTAAAAGTGTAACGAAGGAAGGGGGACTGCGAATGGCAGGAAGGGAAAGGCATGAAGGACGAAGTGGCAGCCGGAAAATTGAAGAAAAACTGAGACGGGGCTTGGGATGAGCATATAGAGATGACGACAGCTTGGGCTTGTCATGGCAGAACGCGACGTGAGCGGTGGCTTGGCCTTTGGCAATTTTCTTATTGCATGCATGTGGCAGCTGAAAAAATACTGGCCAGGAACAAAAAATAGAGGGGGAAAGAGGACTGGGCTTGTGACGACAAATAGTGTTGCATATTTATGTGCCATCAGGACAAAAACAAGACTTTTGTAATTAAAATGAGAGTGAAAATGGTGTACTATAAAAGTCACTTTGTAATCTCTTTACTAAGACTTTCAGGAACACATTAAAATCGATGACCCATTTATAATATCTGGAACAAAGCTTCCAAAAATCTAGATTCGTGACCAAGAAAGGAAGAAAGTCTATATTTTAAAATTGTAAAAGCAGTTTCAATTAGAGAGCTTCTACTGTGAGTCCTAGCACTCGTATGCTGATGAGTTTTTGCATTTTGATGGGTGCAGCACCACGGGCGCGGCATCGCTTAAGGATACTTGTGCAAGATTTATGATGTGTTAGTTTTTTCGAGTGGAGTTTTTTGCACAACATGCATATGCATATGCTTGAGCTGTCGGGAGGACATGCAATTTCTGTTTTTCACTGTTTTATCCCCCCATTCCCACTTTGCATTTGGCAAATGGCGCTCAATTTTTTAATGAGCGCGGCGGAAATGTGGAAAATGTCTGTGATTCTGTGAGAGATACTGTGTGTGGGCTTCTCGCGTAAGAGTGCGGGTGTCGGCGAGTGTGTGTCTGTCAGGCGGGTGTCACTTTGATTTATGAACATCGGCCTGTCATCCGACAGATTTTGTCATTTTCAGCTTGCGTCCTTTGTGGTGGAGTGCGCTTTTAGCCGAATGCAAAAGAAAATTATTTTTAATGGTCACAGCCATGAAGTATCCTCCGTTTTATCCACTCGTCCTTCTCCCCAAAAACCCCAGAGATCCATCGCGATATTGATACGTAAGCCCTTCGCAAAAGCACTTAAACAGTATTTACGCACATGCGTCCATTAATCAAAGAATTTATCAAAACATGTCATGCGACTGGGTTCCGGAAAGTGGAATGTATGGGGAAGTTTGGGCACTTCTTTCATGGAGAAGGAAATCGACTTGTGGGCTCAGATTGCTGGCAAACACATCGTGTTCGAGCTGTCAATCATGAGGACGACAATGATCGTTTGGTTCCGCACTTCCGGGGGCCAATTATCTGCAGTCAAGCGAAAACAAATAACCACACACTGAGGAAAATTTTCACTAAAATGACCTTACTTTCCAACTTAATCCTCTTGTACATCAACTATATATATTTCCAAACACAACCCAGCCAATTGGCTGAGATGCTTATATGGTTCATCATGCAAACAGGACTAAGAAAAGCGGAAAGAGGTTAATAACCACCCCGAACATAAAACACACATAAAAGGAATAGAAGGACGGAAGGAAGGCAAACCAAAGACAAGAGCCAAAGAGATACCGATTTTTGTGTACTCCTCCTCCTTACAGCAGGATAATGCAAAGTTTGTGATAATGTTTGAACAAAGGCAGCCAGGACTAGTGGCCTAAAAGGATATGTGCGTCTAAGCAGGCATTTAACCTCTACTAAGCAGGGCCATCCATCAGATGATTGGCTTTCACTCAATTGCTGTAAGAGCAAATATTTAAATATACTATAAATTGGATGTCAAAGGCTAAATGGAGTATCCTTGTCGTTGATTTTCTTCCAAAAGTTATAAATTGCGGATTTTAAGGATGAAATAATTTGAAAGTGAATTGACTCAGCATATTAATTACCAATTGGCAATAAATGAAAGTTTCATCATAAAATTCCTTTGACAAAATATATCGTATTTTCCATTTTAAATGATTTGTTGGTTTCTCTTACATTCGAGGCATTTTAAAAATTTTAACTTTTCCCTTTTCATAAGAGTACACGAAAACAAAAGTGGGCGTTTGTTGCGACTCTCTTGGCTTTTTTATTTGGCCAGCAAGCCCTGGCAACACTTCCCTCTTGACGGTGCAGAATGATGCTTTGCATTTTTTCACAGCGTTTCCTTGTATCTTAGCATCCACTTTGCAAGTGAAAATGTTTTTAAAGCATTCTTTTAGATACATTCTGTTGCGCTTAAGAGGTTTCCTGCATTTTGGCAATTCTAGTCTCCTATTTTTATTATTCCTCCTTTTGGTATTCCTGTGCATCCCGGAGGATGTGTGGGTGTTTCTGCTTAAATATGCATGTGTGTCAAAGCCGTGTGAAGAAAAATGGTGGCCCATTTTTTTTTTGGGACGCACTCAGACACCCACTTCTTTGAAATCAGCATTCATTCATTTTTACGGCCGTCCCCCTTTTTTTTTTTACTCCTTGTGCCGGCACGCCTGCTTCACATAATTGAATTTTTATGACCGAGGCGACAAGCCGAGGAAAAGAAAAAGTAAGAACAATAAACCAGGCAGCCATAAAATGGTCATAAATCCAAATTTTGAAAAGCGCCTAGGCCGCAGCCCAATATTCTTCGCTTTTATTAGCCGCCATAATCGAAGTTGGGCTTTCGAAGTTTCCATGTGCTTGCTGACTGCATCCAAACATGCGACAATCGCAATATGCAATTGTAGCTTTACGCTACTACACTCATCCTTCACCTCATGGCCCCACCCGGGTGCACCCCCACAAGCGAAAATTCGCAGTCGAAACTTTAGACGTCTAGCCCCAAAAAGGGCATTTCCGGGCAATAAAACTCCGGCGCGTTGCAATTTTCATTGCACTACGAAGCAAAGCACAGTGCAATGAACCGGAGGCCCGGAGAGACACCAGTACGGAAAAGTTTTAAACATGGCGTGGACTGCGCCTAAAAGTATGCACCAAACTGCAAGAACAAAGCAGGCCGTCTGATAAGCATGAAAAGCCGACAGGCAGGATAAGGTTGAGCAGGGGCGAGAGCAGCAGAGGACGAGTCCAGACACCAGGATACAAGCAAAACTGACAGATTGTGGACAGGAGGCTCGTTTATGCCCAAAAAATACCCACAGTCCAGTGTTCTGTTGCATTCGGCACTCAAATACAGTGAAACAAACAAAATAATTCCATTAGGAGAGGAGCTTTTCAAATTAATAAACAAAATGAGAAAATGAGATAATTATTATCATGTTATGATGTCTTTAATTGAGTTTATAACCCATAACCCTAATAAGCTTAAGAGCTTATGGACGAAAAACAGGCTAAAACATTGAATTTCACTCTTACAATGACCATCCGGTTTTGGCTTTAAAACTCAGTTTTAGATTTTTCAACATCCTTTCTTTATTTATAATATCCTGGACCCCAAAGTGCAAAAGTTTTGGGGTTTGGTAAAAAATGTATTTTCATTTCTTTCCAGGGGTGAAAAATGTATCACGTTAAGTTTCTGTGGCTGGTTTTTGCTTAATGTTCAAGTGTTGACTGTATCCTTTTGGCCTCTCGCTAGCTGTGGCCAGCTCTATCTCTTTCTGTCTCTATGGCTATCTCTCTCTGTAAAGCATGTTTCAAAGTATTTTCTAGAATGTGAGCCAACAAGTGTGTGTGTGCGTTCATTCGTCTGTTTTGAGCAGCTTGTTAAATATTTATCTTCCCTTTTTTATGTCCAACACCCTAACACTAGAAGCTCAACAGGAAAAGAGGTATATACCTGTATATATTTAAAAAAAATCCTAAACTAGCTAAGCTACAATTTACTGTACTTAAATCTTAGTTAAAAGGTAAAATTAAGGTTTCTTAAAGGCGGATTAAAAAATGGCTTAAACTCTTTTTAGGAATAGTAAACATATA